TGTATATACAAAAATGTTTGAATTGATGTCACTAACGTACAACGAAAGAATAAGAATAGCCAATAAAATTAAAGATATAAATTATAGAAATAACAAGATCTAGACATAAGTTTAAGAAAAAAATCCAAACGATACACTTTGAGCAGACATAAATAAAAACATAAAAATCAGACAGGTAGTAGAGAATAGACATATAATATATAAAATGTGAGAATAAAGATCCAATTGTTAGATCAAGCAAATATATCAACTAAGTTAGACTTTTTCTTTAAATCGACACAAAACAGAAACCAGATAATATGTATATTTCTATGTTTGTAAAACATTATTTTTTGTAATTCATCTGAAAAACAGGTTATGATTAAATTGAATAAAACAGTAGAAAAATTTTCACTCTCAAACATATAGAATAATTTGAAGTCATGTCTGATAAATAGTCCTTGTCAAAGCTAGAAATGATATAAGACAAGAGGCCAGTAAGAGTGTTAGGTGTTTATGATAGAATTATCAGAAAACTGGCAAGTAATTATTATGTAACCAATTCAAAGTGGTCATGATTATTTATGAATTTATATTGTGTTTAAGAAAATATGAAGTTAAAAAACCACTAGCAATAAACTGTTTGAAACACTGTCTCATAACACAGTAGTAGTCTTATTTTAATTAATAATTACGTAAACATCAAAATGGATAGTGAAAATTATTTTAATTCACTAACGAAGTACGGTCTAGTACACTCGAGCATGAGCTACATTTGTGAATGTGTGCTACTTATATTGACATAAGTAGTATATGATGTTAGTCATTAAACAGAAGGTCTGGCAGCAGAGAGACAAGAGGATCGAACAGTAAAGAATGGAAACAAAATGCAATTTGTATGAAAATGCAAGAACAATGAAGTCAATCATTTTGAGACAATTGGTGGACATTTTGCAAATTAAGCATTTACTTTATGATTGTTAGATTTTATTAACAAGTCCTGTGATTTTATGTTAAATGCATCTGATTGTCCCCACTTGTGTTCTTGTTAACTACACATTTATTAGTGTGACGTCTACAAAGCGAGTCTGTCACGTGCAATTATTCAGTGACTGAAAATCAAGTATTTTAACAATCAACCAATTATGTCACTATTGTAATAGATCCAATTTCAAATCTCTTTTAAAGATGTCTAGCAATCCATCCAACATGATTGTGTCAATTTTTTTAACACTGTATTTTTTTTGCATTCATTTCGTTAATATCTGATTGAGTGAACATTGAATATTTATATTTTATACGAAATACGGATCCTCACTCTTTTCAAAACACTGTTGTGTTTCAAAAGTTAGTTTTGATTAACAGGTCCTATGTAAAAAATCTAAGGTCCGAGGATAAGATCATACTACTAACTGTGCTGAGTTATAGTAGTAGCACGGTATTTCTCATAGATAACAAGAATCTTTAGTAATACTACCTTCCCACGATGAAAGAAAGTTAGGAGGGGTCGAACCTACAACCAGCAAATTTCACCTTGCCACATAGATATCTGATGTCGCCTGTATAGTCTGAGTATGGAAATGATACATAACAAACTAATTACAAAAAGTTATGTGACCAAAAGCAATGCGGACTAGTGTTGGAGACGGATGGAAGTTAGGGACGGCCAAACCAAAACATGACATCAGTCCATAAAGTCACTAACTTCTGGTCTGAGCCATGTTGGTAGATGCAAACTGCTTGGTTGGGGTCCGCACGACCATCGTAGCCACTGGTTGGGGACAGTGGATGACATGACTCCGAACTGACCACAATGGCGTAGGGTGTATACACTCTTTGTCTTCCCTTAAGCGGTGAGATTAAAATCACTTTATCACTTCCTTTCTACGAACTGATTCTTACTCCCTGTATAAAATCTTTATATATATATATATATATTATTACTACCATTGAAGTAACTGCATCTATGAATTTGGTGTTCATCTTGTTGTGCTAATGAAGTATGGCAACTTGGACTGACGCATATAAATGTCTGCTCCTACATTGTAAATGACTGACTGACTTTCTGAGCAGGCACAAGCAGATGTCTCTCTTAGGTTGTAAAGTTACGCTTCTCGTGTTGACAGGATCGCGACTAATAACTGGTATTTACTTTAATACTTCTTGAAAAGAAATATTCTTTCACGATGTACGCAACAGTGAAGTTACAACGATCCCTACACCTCTAACAACAACAAAATACGAACAATCTTAATTTTTAAGTTACGTTAACTTCATATAGTTTCAAAATCTAAAATGTTTGTCGCACGATAATATGTTTTCTGGAGATGACTTTACGGGCGCCAAATTGACCAAGATCAAACGTAACGATAGTGCCAGTAATAGCAACTCCACACATAGAATATGGCTCCAGAAGAAAGAATGGATTCACTAGATAGTATGAAATAATATTGGAAACTGAGAAAGTTGTGAGATGAAGCGTGAATAGATCTGGAAGACTGCGAGTGACTCGAAGCAATTTTCTTCTAACGTCTCCCTAATCACTAATCATATTCATTGAGCGACTCAGGCCACGAGTCAGTTAATGATCTAATATTGTTCTATAATGCTGTCAATCAATATGATAGTATTTTATTTTATATGAGTTTATTGCTCACTATCTGGTCTGGATAAAATTACCTGGTATTTTGATTTGATTACAAGTACAATGATAGCTGCTAATCTTTGGGATTATAGTTTATGCGATTAGTTTGAAGATAGGTATTTTTGATAGTGTTCATTTGACATGTTTTTGTAAGATGTTAATCTATCATTTTTACTAAATACGTGTTGTTTTTAGTTACACAAACCTTAAAATGATAATGCATTCAGCTTAGGTATAAAGCTAGACCAACAAAAACTACAAACTTCTTTTCCCCACCAATTCATTTACAACAGCAAGTCAATATAATAACAAAAATTATCTTCCTAATAATTACATTCACTGGATTAACTTACAAACATTTTATATTTTAGGACATCACAAGATTAGAAAGACGGGGTTGGTGAGTGAATGATTTACAATGAATAGACCGATGCACTTGAATAACTCAGGTGAACATAAAGAAAAACACATCACAAAAGTGGCATATTAATATACATAGGTATAGCGGAAAACAATAAAATGATAAACAATGCTACCTACGATGACTAAGTATGTGTATATAAGTGAAGGTGTATAGGTAGACATTCCAAATGCCTTAGCGACTAAATATCTTATGAATGACTTTTTTCTGTACTTTAATTAGATTAGACTGACTCCGATTTTAGACGAGAAATTCCACTCAATCTGTGTTAAACAAACTACCATCATCATCGTCAACACTGACACCACCACTGCTACTGTACAAAAATTGTGCTAGGTCACGGTTATTTCAGGTAAAAATGAAAAGTGAACACAAAACAACAAAAGTAAAATAACAACTGACCTACACATTAAAACAATTGAGTTTCTAGTCTAACAAATAATGACCTGAACGGTATAGCATTGATTCGACACAATCAGTATGGTAGTAGTATTTTCAGTGTCTATGACAAACACTGACAGTTTAGTAAGTTATGGGTGAAATAAACACATGGTAAGACAGGGTGTAGACAATATTACTTATCTAAATATATATATATATATATATATATATATATATATATATATATATATATATATATAAGCTCGCGTGCGAGACCGAATGTCGTGGTTTCGAATTCTGTGAGCGGTATCGTGGATGCGCACTGATGAGGAGTCCCATGCTAGAACGAAACGGTCTTCCAGTGCTTCCAGAAGACTCTGCATTTTGTCAGCGTCTTCCCCAAACAGGACTATGTCATCTGCGTATTCTAAGTCGATAAGTGGACCTCCTGGATGGAGATCAATACCCGAGAACTCAGTCGACGAGAAAGTTATTTCCATCAGTAGATCTATGATGAAGTTAAACAAAAATGGGGAAAGTGGACGTCGGTGTATACACTCCCTGTCTTCCCTTAAACTAAGAGATTAAAATTGCTTCATACCTTTCTTTCTACGAACCAATTTTTTCTTCTTGTACTATATCTCTATATCCAATACTTCTCTTATATATTACCACCTTTGACATAACCACTGCTATGAATCCGGTGTTCATCTTGTTGTGCTGATGCGGTATGGCAACGTGGACCGATGCACATATGTGCCTGGTCCTACGTTGTAGCTGACTGACTGACCAGTGCTTCCAGGTTTTCCATGGTGATCTAGCTTTAATCGACTCATAAATTCAACTATTAAATTACTACAATCTCCACAAAACCCCTTTTTAGTAAGACAAAAATAATTAGGCACAGTTGATTTACATGAAGGTATTTGCTTTAGGGTTATTAGACTTGAACTGTTGGCTGGATGATACTCACCTTTCGTAATCTGGCATGTCAAGGTGGGGGCAGGAGCTTGTTAGGAGAAAACAGGTTTTAAATAAAGAGTAGATAGAATGTGGCTAGTAGTGGGATACAGGACGTCTATTTCGTTCTATTTGTGACTCATCAGTTAGATATACCTGCATCTATTCAATTTTATCTACGTCGAACTTTATCACAATGGCTATGTCGAGGCGATCCGAACAGGACGCACAAATGCCAACTAAGACTGATCGAATTTCATCCAAAAATATCAAAAACTGAATGATCCAAACCATTTCATATTGAATTAAGTTTTAAATATCGTTCCGAAGAACATTTGATGACAGTGTAAGCGCATTCTCTAATGTTAAAATAATATTACCTCTGAAGCGCACATAAACTGGACGAAATTACTAGCTGAACTATTTGCGAACGACTTAGTTTAATAAATTGGATAGTGGAGTGCGGAGTAGTTTTAAAAGAGATTGGGATATAAAACTGAACATCACTACTGATTTGCATGGGACAGCTTGGGAAATAATTAATTAATATTTACACTAGTAATGATTTGGAAAATATTGAAAAAAAAACGAAGTAACAATAAATGAAAAGCTTACCGCCATATTTTAATTAAAGAATCACACCCACCAGAAACGAGTCTTTTGATAGGAGGAATCATAGTATTTGTTGATGTTGTTGTTGCCAACGTGGGATTGAATATAAATTCAGCATTTATGGAGGGTGCCCAAGACACGCTATTAACACCAACCTTAAACAATAGAAAAATAACTTGATTTATGATGCATGTTTGACAAGGATACAAGAAGATTTATTAGGTATTTGTCATAAAACTGATTAAAAGGTACGAATATTTTTTGAAATGACTAAAAACTTGATGAACATATACTAATCAATGAAGTGTAATTAGTCATAAACAAAATAAAACCTGGAACATGTGTACATCGATTCGAATTGACAAATTCGTCTGACTGTGCTAATGAGTTGCGGCCAGACAAATCCCACAGCAGTAGAGATAGTGTCATTATTAGTAGTATTAGAAAAGATTAAACATACAAAATTCAATTCCAGAAATCGCAAATTAGTGGAATAAAAATCTACAGGAAATTCACAAACTAAGGGAAGACAAACAGTGAATGAATCTGCCCAATTGCAAACAATTTTGAGCTATGACAACCATTGTAGGTGTCATTACCAAGGTTTGATTTGATAATTTCGAATAAATTGAGCATTGGGTTGATTGTTATAAATAAAAATAATATATTTGTAATATCCCAATGAGTAGAAAATTGGATTTTTCTGACGTTTCGTGGCTTAGTGTAAGTCACTTCTTCAGAGAATAAATAACCAAATTATTTAACATAATTAGGATTTTGCGTGACGGAAAAATTACTTGTCAACTATGCGGGAATTGCTCACTTCCAAGCATAATAATTATAATGGTGTCCCAGATAAGCGAGAATTCGTTTTGTATATACTGGATCATAGTGGCAACGAAAACTTTACATCAACAGATATCAAAATAGTAGGTGGGGGTGATATCTATAAGGAATGTATTGACAGTTTGGAGGGTATTTTTGAGTCTCTTCTTGTCAAAACACAATGCAATGACTTAGAGTTCAGTAATGTTCTTTTAAGTAAAGCATTCATATACATGATATTTTGTGTGAAAAAAACTAAATCACTACTTAACATTGGTCAACTACATTTCATTTCACCTATACACAGAATTGTGAAATCAAAAGCAAAGATTGAATCCTTATTATATATAGTGAACGGTAGTATATCTAATACATGTACAGACATCCACAAGGAATGATGGTATATTTGGACCCGTGAAGAAGTTATACCAAATTAAACAGCTATGGCAACAATAATGATTAATAAGTTCATGAAAGACCAAAGTTCTTAGAAAAGTGAGATGGGTAGGAATCTTGGGATCCTTAAACTGGTTCTATAGTATTTATATGTTGTCTTATTTGCAGCAGATTCAAACTGAAACTGGATAATTTATAAACTAGGTGCATGTAGCTTGTTTACGAAATACTTTAACGGCGGTCATGATTAAGGAGGGAAGTCAACTTCGAGATGATCGAGAACATAATGACTTAGTAACGACTGTTACCTCAAATCACTAATTACACTAGGGTTTTTATTTTAATTCGCAGTTCAATCACATGAGCGAATTCCTTACCTACTTGCGACTGTTACTCCTTGTGTAGAAGCATAGACCACGCACCAGCATTTTCCATCGAACTCTGTTTCGGACAATTCTTCCCAGCTGTTGTTTGTCCTTTGCATATCTGCTTCCAGTTCCTGGAGCAATGTGTTCTGTGATCTTCCTCTTTTCCGTTTCCCTTCAGGATTTCAAGTTAGCGCTTGACTCGTGATGCAGTTTGATGGTTTACTCAATGTATGTCATATACACCTTCATTATGTTTTCCTAATTTCCTCTTCATATGGAAGCTGATTTGTTCTCTCCCACAGTAGAATGTTGCTGATGGTATCCGACTAACGGACATTGAGTATATTGTGTAGACAATTGTTTATAAATACTTATACATTTTTGATGATGGTTGTGATAGTTTTCCAAGTTTCGGCTCCGTACATTAAAACTGTCTTGACGTCCGTATTGAAGATTCTGACTTTGATGTTGATTGTTTTGAGTTCCATATGTTCTTCAACCGTAGGAATGCTATTCTTGCTTTGCCAATCCTTGGTTTTACGTCTGCATTAGATCCTCCTTGTCCATCGATAATGCTGCCCCGATAGGTACGTGGAAGATTGTACCTCATCCAGAGCTTCTTCATCAAGTGTGATTGAGCTGGTGTTCTCTGTGTTGTATTTGAGTATGTTGCTTTTCACTTGTGTATGTTGAGGCCAACTGATGCAGAGGCTGCTACTACACTAGTTGACTTCACCTGCATTTGTTCTTGTGTATGGGATAGAAGAGCCTGGTTTTCTGCGAAGTCCAAATCTTCTGGTTGATTCCGAGCTGTCCAATGTATTCCGTGCTTCCCGTCAAATGTGGAGGTTTTCATAATCCGGTCAACTATCACAAGAAAGAGAAAGGAGGAGAGTAAGTAACCTTTTCTGACTCTGGTCCTTACTAGGAATGTATCCATCAGCTGTCCTCCATGCACGACTTTGCAGTGTAGTCCGTTGTATGAATTCCTTATGATGTTGACGATCTTCCTAGGTACTCCATTGTGTCGAAGACGGTTCCATAATGTTCCCCAATCCGCACTGCCAAATGCTTTCTAATAATCAAAGAAGTTGGTGTATAGTGACGAGTTCCATTCAATTTATTGTTTAACGATGATCTATAGTGTCGTGATTCGGTCTATGCAAGACCGATGTTTATGGAATCCATTCTGAATAAACTGTAAATGCATTCTTAGAACATAATGCATTTTGTACTACTAAAGTGTTTGTTAGTAGTTTGTTATGTTTCCGAAAAGTAATATCGATGGCTTTTCAATAATAATGTCCAACTTATGTGCTTTAAACAATGACGGGGTCGACTTGGCAAAAATTCAAGGAGGTCATAAAACTCACAGCTGATACTACCACTTACGGAGTGTGCTTCTGGGATTCGAAAGGCACGCCAAGAGTTCGTTTCGTCCGATATAAGGATAGAGATTGTCCCATCTGAACTGGCACATGCTAGCATTAGTCCATAAGAATGAGGAGCCCAACAAACGCAATTGACTAGTAAATAAAAAACAAACGGTGGATGACTCTGGAGAACAAGACTAAGAGCTGTAGAGTTAACCAAATGCAAATGTTCTGAAGTTAAGTCATTTATTTGTAACACAAAACTTCGACGACTGAGTGTCTACAATAACTACCTTATCTCTACAAAAACCAAGTGTTTTCAAAATACCTAATTAGTTTCTGGAAAGTTATTCTTGTGTAGGATTATTTTTTGGTTTGCATTTAAGTCTTTGAAGAGAATTTTTGCTTACATTATTACCTTTCTACTTGTTTTCAGTAAAAGTAGCTAAGAGTTCCAGGAATCAGTGAGTCAGATTTGTTGATAATTAGTGCTCATTTAAAATAATTTCCCATCCATTTTATGTTAAATTAAGGAAAAAGTTTGTTTGAAGGGAAAAATTTACTAATGCAGTGTCCATACATAAATATCAATTTATTAACCCGCTTGAAGTTAGTGGATGCATTATTAAAAAGATATTAAGCGTGCATTAAAAGCAAGTGCGGCTTGCGCGGCGCTACAAACATAGGATTAAATTTTTATAAAGCAACTTTAAAAATAATATATAAGTGATGATTTTGAATTTTGTGGTGATTAATGGGATTTAAATTTTAAGAAAACTCTGAAAAGGACAATTATAAAGTGACACAGTTTGCAAAATATCGTAGAAGGTACAGAATCTTAAGTTCAATAAATAATCGAAAGTAAGTGATTGGAATGTTTATGGCCAAAATAATATAAGAAATTATGCATACTTGGACATGTTCTCCAAATGTCGTCCCAGAGAATTCCACCTCGTGGATTATTTGCCGACTCTGGGACTGGTTGGAAAAAGCGGAGAGGTGGTCAGTGTATGACATGGTGTCGTGGTATGAAAGAAAGCTGCAAAGGGCTGGCTTGTGTTGGTCCTTCACGACTCCCTGGTTGGGGTCCGAGAGATGGTGCAACACAGTGGCTAGAGACGTTATCAGATATGGCTCAGAATAGAAGCCAGTGGCGATCCTGCTGTAACCTTCTTTTACTTTCTTCATAAAAAGTGGTTGTGTCTCCCTTACCTGAAAGATTTCTTCTGATTGTACCCTTCCGTTCCCTCATTACTACCACACTACCTTACACCAGTCTATCCGTTATTGTTCACTTTTTTTTGCGCTCCTTAGCTTTTTTTTCGATTTCTCTTCGAATTCTCATTGTTTTGTGTGGTGCATATATATTGGCGCTCTCTTGTACCAATATTCATGTGTTCAAATAAATAAACAAATAAAATGTTAGTCAAAATATGATGAGGGCTGTTATGTACGAAAAAAATAAGCCCTGACATCCCATCACGAAAGCTTTGGATAAAACACCTATGACTATGTTAGTTTTAGGATCTTCGAGATCACTAACGTATTAACTTCCTCATACAGATAGAAAAAGTTTACTAAGTTCAAAAGGAGTAATGGCGAACACGTGGGACTACATATATGAAAAAGTATTTTGAATCACCTTTCCAAACCATCGGTCTTCATGGACTTGTATGAGAAACAGTTATTCCTTAAACAATCGAAAACACTGAATTGTCAACTTACTGATGGCTCAAAATGTACTACAATTGTGGTACTAGTCATCTCATACTGGTACACGATTATATATAGTTTCAAAGTATTGTACTTATATCTAACCTGAACTAGCATGTTCAGCATATTCAAAGACTTTTCCCCATCGTCCATTGATTTCTTGCCAGATAATCACCTTACGATCATAACCGCAAGAGGCCAATAAACTCCCATACATAGGATGGGACCAACTTAAACTCCAAACAGGTCCTTGATGACTACATGAAAATGATTAGTAAATAAAACAGATGCTTGTATGTGTATGAAATACGTCTAGACAACCAAAGATTAGTTTACACGAAAAATTCTCAAATGGAAATTATATCATGCATAAATGTGGCAAGAAAATTGTAAACAACTAGACCAAATTAGAAAATGCCATTGATTAAGAAAAAAACTAACTGTATACGAGTGGCCACACGGAATCATGTATTTTGTGTATGTATGACCTGGTGTCATGTAAGTCACCGACAGAAAGTGTTGAAGATGCAGTCGGTTTATGAACGAATATTTTTATCAGGATTACTTTCGACTTTTAAATATTAAAGTTTAGTGCTTCAAAAGCTGGGCTTCCTTACAGGCCTCTGCGTTGTTAGCTTAGACATAATGGTAGTCACTGGTTGAGGGACAAAACAGTCTGATCGACATTGCTCAGGATACAAACCAGATGAAATGTTCCTCGAAAAATCCCGCCAATCCTCATAGGCGCCTTTGGATGTTACTAACTAACGTGCTGCCAACTTAAGAGGTTACTAAACCGAAATCAAACTTCTCGATCCCAGTGTCTTGAATCAGTTGGAATGCTCCCAAATGCCCTGATACGGCCAAGGGTGTATAAGGCAAGCCCTCTCTCTCTCCAAATGCTCTCACATAGTCACGCGTACACAGCCACTGTCAGGGAAGTCTTAATCACTGCCTTCTCGCGGCAGGGATATTGTTTGCGAAATTGAGAAGACGAAAGGCGAATGTACTATGTTTGAAGAGATTATGAGATCACCTAAATCAGCGAATGGAACGAAGGGTCAGTAACACCGCGACGAGACAAGCTCAACTATGCCGATGGGTTCCAGGCCTGCTAACTAAACAGAGAAGACCAGGTTAGAACGAAAGGTATATTTCAAAAGCAGCCGGAAGCCCGAACAAACCAAGCATGCAACTTAAGTATATATATATATATATATAGAGAGAGAGAGAGAGAGAGTATATATATAGTACAAAGAGGTCCATGGAAAACGTCACAAAACAGAGTATTAAAAGAGCCAACAAACCAATAACATCTAGTCTTTTCAAGTGAGAAATACAATCTGAAGGTAAAAATGAGCGCTATTGGCGCGAAAACGGGAAATTCGAATGTACAAAATAAAATTGCGAAAATAAGGCGTTTAACAAGTGATTTCTGGGGATCTAGCATCTCTCAGAGAATTTCCGGCGCTTTAACCGGGTAAGTGAATACGGAGGATTCACATAAGGAAGTTAGAAAACCCTGATCCCAAACTAATGGTGCACATCAGCTCCAGAATCCCGAAGAAACAAAAGGCGTATGAAGCTGTTGTTGGCCACCAGTTACCATGTTACTGCATCTCTTAACGTTGCTCCTCTAGGTCAAAGGTTTGAGGATTGACCACCTAATAAAACCATCTACTTCGGTTAGGGCACCCGGGCAGTATCCTACCCCTAACATAAAACGAATGATTTGTGTGATGCATATCTATTTCGTGCCTCCTTGTATCAATGTTTATGTGTTTAAATAAAAGAGATAAAGTTGGAGCATTTTCTGGTAGTTTCGTTCAACTCATTACCACGTGCTGAAAACCAGGAATCTCAGTTCGCGCGCACGTTTTATGCGATCTAACATAAGAATCTATATGTACTGTTGAGTGGAAGATCATTATCCCTCGATAAGTTGTTAAGAACCGACGTAAATTCAGTGCTTAAAAGTATGAAATGGTAATAAAAAACAGAATGGGTCAAAACAAAGTAAAATAAACTCATATGTATTGGTGGATGCATCGCTTAAGTAGGTAGCTAAGCAAAGGGGATAGAGTAGTTTCTTAATGATTATAATGACATTTGTTTACGAGCTGAAATACTGTCCAAGAAACCGGACCAAAGCACCTAACATAGATAATTTTCAGAATTTTATAATCACATGACTAGGAACATTTGTTATGAAGACCTACAAGATGAAGTCCATCCATCTTCTAGATAAGACTCCCGGAAATATAAAATAAGGAAGTTAATGAATACTTTGGGATGGTGGTTATATATTTAATCATGTTGAAATACATTCAAAAGTTTATGGTAATATTAACTCAAAATCGCTTAAAACATACTCTCGTAAGTGAGCTATAAGAACTTGTTTCTTGTTACGGACATCAAATATTTTAACTGAATGATCAGACGAAGCTGTTGCTAGAGTTGTTCCATAGTAGTCCAACTGAGCATCATGCTAAGAATTCGACAGTATTTGAAATATAAAAAACTTACTATCATATCTTCATGGTTAGTATCAATAGTTTGAATGCCAGAAACCTAAACCAATAGTTAGATGAAAACAATTATCTGAGAAAGGTAAGATTTTGTGATAGAATATTTAAATAAATTTGATGTGCAATATGCGTACGTATATGAGACTTATAATGCTACAGTTGGCTAACATCGGAATCAATTTGCTGGTTTCAGTCTAAAAGCTTACAAAAGTATGTACTAATCTTTATTTTGAATTAACTTTAAAGTATTTAGGGACTTTAAATTCACAACTAAGCATCTTAAAAAATATAGGTTAGATATTTAGAAACCGAACAAAAACACATATATTGTAACAGATGGATTCCCTATTTTTAATCATATCCGTATAACGTGAACTTGAAGCGGTCATTAAAGGAACAAATCTCATTTATTAAGAATAGATTTACATACATAAGTCTCCAAAAAATACAGTCATTATTGAGAAAAAACAAGCAAACCAGATATCAGTTGACGTAAGACAGAGACATGAAAAAGACGAGAAACTCCAGGAGACAAGTAAACTTATTTGCTAATTTTAGTGCCAACTACATAAAGGAAATTTATGGACTCATATTATTAAGATAGTCTTATTAAACTACATAAACGTTGGGGAATACGTGGAAGAATTAGGTTGTGATAAGTAGACAAGACAGATCACTTTCAGTTTAATTTTGTTCGATTTTATTTATTATGGGTATAGGGAATTAACACTAAATAAACTGCCTTGGAAGATAAGTTTTGGATGACTATGTGTAGGACGAATATCCGGGGTAATATATAGTCATTTATTCACGCCGTCACCATGAAAATAATTTCCAGAGATTTTTGATTTAAATATTGGAGTCAAATGGGGACTATATCGCATCGAAACTCTTACCATAGTTTAAAATAAAACAAACACGTCACGAAGTAGCGCAGCTCTCGCTATTACCGCTTTCAATCACTAATCCTCAGTCTTCAGTCGTAATATAGTAGCTAAGTGGACCTGTGGTAATCCTTACAGCTTGTCCTTTAGTTCACATTTCTAATGAAAACGTTCACTGATGGGGCTGATAACTCTGATTCGGGCAAGGCACTCGATGAGAAAAACGAAACCACACTCAGAGCTTATTAAATTTCATTTTTGAACCCTCGAGATAATGCTTTGGAGATTACTAGTGCTAAGAGGAGCACGAAGTTCAGATATCGTAACACCAAAATGGTTATTAAAGATACGAAATTCCAATATAAGTTCACCTGGAGTCCTACGATTGGATGAGGGGAAAATGTTCAGGAGTTTTGAGCGTTTATCATAAAAGCGTTCGAAAGACCCTTCACTAATTCTTTCCCACTAGCCGAATACGCTCAAATGACTTGGTGTTTTTATAAGACATGGATTGGTTGCTTGTACACAGTACTGTGGGTGTGATCTTACTTTAGGTGGGATACCAAACTCGAAACAACTTGTCAAAGAACTTGTAAGCTCAGCGAAGTGACCATCACGCTCGAAAATCTTTGGCGACTGTTGCGTTGTAATGCGTAGTTGTTTCCAAGCCGTAATGCACTATCACCATTAAGTCTTTGTGTTCCTGCACACACGAAGCGATATACCGTTGATAGCATACTGATAACTATTACCGTACCCGATATGGATGATCATACTTTTCTCGGAATTAATGTGTGAAATCAAAAATGTGACTAATTGACTAATTTGTGTGATTCAGCTCGCAACTAAGATGAACAACCTTACTACTTATAGTTATCTAACTTGACAGTATCTGCAATCAAGTGTCGATGACTCAAGCATTCGCGGTAATTCATTGACGAAGGGTAAAACTAGGGAACTTAAAATATAGCCTTGGAGTGCACTGCTTTTCTATTCAGATAGTGTCGTGTTTACACTCACTCCGTCTTCGGCTACAGAGTAAGTTTCTTACCGACTTATTTTCTCAAGCAACTTAACTACTATCCTGGTTAGATTGAATGTTTGGTAGTTAAACATGATCTTTATCTTTCCATATTTAAATATAGGGTTAAGATAGCATTTTTCCAATCCCTAAGGATTTGATTGTGGGAAAAGGATATATTGAAGAGCATCGCGAGTGGCCTTTGAATGATGTCCACAATCAGGGAGTCGGTGTCTTACTAGGTCTGAGGTTAATGTTCATTTGAATAACAGCGTCCTCAGTCACACATACAGGTCCTATGGCTGGAATCTCAGTAATGTGATCATAGGCTGGTAACAATACCCGTAGAGTAGACTTCGAGGAAATAGTTTGATAAAGTCCCAGGTTTGACCATATCTGATCTAGCGAGTAAATCTAAATTTTCGTGCAATAGTAATGGGGTTTAATCGACAAAAACAATCTTCTAGGCAGGTACGGCTATCATATGCTGTCTTTCAAAATCAGTACGGCATCTGGCAATTTTCTCTTTACATATATCTCGGATCTTTTGGTATTCTCACTCAAAGGATTCGTGGCCTGTTGATATGAATAAGTCACAGAGTTGTTTCCTAGGCCGGAGCATTCGGGTTTGCTTGTCGATCCATAGAAGGCAATATGATGGCTCACGTGTTGACCTGTGGATGTACGATGGTGGTACAGACTCGGATTTGGCTTTAAATTTGTTCCACAAACATTCGACCGATCCATCTGAATCGGCCGACCAGTCTGTTGACACAGCACAATTTACGACCGCGGGAATGTTAGAGCGCTGGACATGGAAACGGAGTGGAGCAGACACATGCTGTAAACCGTGTCCAAAACCTAAGAAGTACGGTGTGATTACTATTTGCCAGTAGGGGGAGGTGCTGAACGTCAACGACATTGTAACAGTGGTGTGTAAACACAACATCCAGCAACGACTGTTCATGTTCCAAATCAATGTGTCGGTTTCACGATACATTGCACAAGCACATACAGAATAGTGGTTGATAGCAGGCTGCTGTCAAATAATTCACAAGAAGTTATAAACCGTATTTAGTTGATATGCGATGCAATGAAATGAGACAACACTTGGTATTACTCCAAGAACAGATAAGGCGGCATCGGGAACCACTTAGGTACCTGTAAATGAATTGTAAATGAATTGAAAATGTCATGCAATTCGTAACTATACAACTAAGTCCAGAATTCTTCAAACCTCATTCGAAAGCCCAATCGAGACCCACAATAAGGGTAGCTAAGATGTAATCACTGAAGAATTGTCTATCTTTTGTTTTACTACACAAATCTAACAATCGCACCAATCAAGAAACAACATGTCATCTAAAGAAAAAATGTAAATCAGTTTAATTTGCCTCAAAGTTTAGCAATCAACTATGAAATAAGAATTATGCGAGAAATACAAAGAGTATGTAATTAACTACCGGTTAACAACAGCAAATATTCCTTAAAAAACAGGAAAAGCATCCCAGTACCAGTGATAGTAAGAGCAATCAGTCCATACAGTAAAACTGCGAAGTACACAAGTCCACAAAGAGATGCGTTAAAAGTCAATTAAAGCAGAGATGAAACAGTTGTTCAAAGAATCAACTCCATAATAACAGGCAACAGAATTAGTGCAGACAAATGATATATGAACCCAATATAGATAAATATGGAGGGAGATAAATGAAGTATTTCATGCAGAGGGAAAAGAAGGAATGTTGTTATGTAGAACGCAAGCATGTGGGATTTACATCCAAACATGTGTGAGGTTGCTGCCCCCCATATATATCTGTGAGTTCGCATGCGTTGATGATTCCTGAATCTGAGTTATGAGACCGGATTGTCACGTTTTGGCAGCTGAAGTACATAATCAAGACATAATATCTGTAACTATGTGATACAGTGCCAGGTCTGATAACGAAGATAATTTCTCCAACCATAATGTCTAAGATTTGGATACATACTGAAGTATATCCCACCAAAATTATAAGAAACCTGATCAATGTACCATTTAAATGTAGTCAAGGGCAAGTCTGTTCCGTACACACCATGCCTACTGAAGTCATTTAGTCCCAGGCTTCATTTATTACTACTCCAGAACTGTTCTAATACAGGACCAACAACTGAGTAGATTTAACTGTCTATACTCATAACATTATTTTGATAACTTCAATACAAGTAACCTCATAAAATATTCCCCGTTTGCAAAATCCCCAAGACCTGACTTCCGAAATCGCCAATCAGTTTACTGCAGCATCTTCTGTATACTTTTTCGTCCTCTCCCAATAACATACTACGTTTTATGTTGTTTCCACCCCCCCCAATCATTAATTAACAGATTTCCTTAGATCGAACGGAGAAACAACTGAAGTGGTTAACCCAAGAATCTAAAATCATACATAGTCGATCTTTATCCGTAAGTATTTACTACTCTTGCGTATCCACTCCTTATGTTTAATAAACGATAGAATCCTTGATTTCGTGATGAGTTCACTACTGCAACACAAATAGTAGTAAGGGGCAGCAACTCAGGATTTCTTTGAAACCGAACAATGGTAATGGTCAAAAAAAGTATTCCAACCTAACAATGGGGACGGAATACCTACTTTTAAGAGTATTGAGATATTCAGTGATTAATATATATCAACTTATCAGTCAGTCAGCTACAAAAGTGGATTTATTCACATTGGTCGCTGTCTTAACTTAAATCTGACTGTACAGACACATACACTCAAACCTCTTAACACTGTTCGTGACCTGGGTTTAAGATATAGCAACAGTCTGAACTTTTCTGAACACATTATATCTCGAGTATCCAAAGCTAGAAGGCTCATCGGATTGATAATGCTAAACTTCAATAATATCGAATCGAGATTGTTACTATACAAAAAATGTATCTTACCCATTCTTGAATACGGTATTTTAGTTTACAGTAATTGTAGACATACTGATCTGATTAGAATGAAGGTGTTCAAAGAAGGTTCACTAAAGCTGTTCTGCAGTATTCCGATAACAAAGACTATTACCAAAGATATCAACAACTCAACTTAGAGCCTCTTTGCATCTGTGGTGGTTCCCAAACCAAAGGAGCTTACACAAAATATATTGATACACTAGGTTAACAATGATATACCAAAACAAATTAATGGCAAAGAAACCTAGATGTCTGTCCGTTAGTAAAAACAAAGGTAATAAAATACCGTTAGCAATATAAAAGGTATATTAAACAAACAGACGCTAACAGTTACTATAGAATGAATGTTACTTGTTAACTGCCACGTGAGAACAACGACCACAAACTGAGTTCACTTGATTGACAGGTGTTCCTCTCCAAGTGACTGCACCAATGACGTAATGAGGAAGACGGAGTCCAATAGTATTATACAATAGTAAACCGCGCCAAAAGTCCAACGTTGAGTCGGAAGGCCTATAATGATGTTATAATACTATTATAGTCTTCAATCAAAACGGTGGCCAATAAAACAGAAGAACAACGGCGTAGATAGTGTTCTATATTTTAAACAACGCGGTAGTAGTATCGTATATCATTCATCGAAACAAAAATTATCGTCTTTTTTAACAAGTGATACAGCAAAACAACAGATATTGAATAAAAATGTGGTTAGAAATAAGGTGTGACAAATTGGAGAAAAAATGTTTTTATTTTTGTTGTTACAAAAATCACTGAATATATGTCACCATAGATCAGACGTATCAAATTAAATCTTGTCTTTATCTACCGGCTTATTAACGGTATTTCCTACTCTTCGGTATCCACCCCTTCATACCTTATGATATCATCCCACAATGTACGCAATAAGGAGAATATTCTAGCGATTCCAAGAACCCACACAAACTTACGTCAGAATTTTTTCCTTATTCGCTACTCAACCATGTGGAACAGACTGCCAGTGAACCTCCGTTGCAGTGAAACTACAACCCGGTTCAAAAGTCTCCTTGACGATTTTCTTTCTGAAAGTGGATTATGTCACCTATTGAATATCAATGTATTCAATAATGATTTATACAAACAAGGTCCGTCATCCATTTAATTGCTTGAAAAGCAAAATAAAACCTTTAAATCTTTCCACATCTATTTTATTTCTATTTATCTTAATATATGAAATCTGATTATGTTCGTGTTTATCATTATTTCCGTTATTAATATCATTATTAGTTCCCTGACACATTAGATATTCTTTTTGTATCTTCTTATCCTTCTAAACATATTTAACTCCAGATTGTCCTTTAAAATCAATTTTGACTTTCATAGCATCAATCTTAATTATTATTGCACAAATATTTATAATAATATCCGGTTTCACTCTGTATACTATTACATAAATCTAAATGTATTCATCCGAGTGCTTTAACGGATTTTTATTTTATTTTTGCAATTGCTGGTTTCCTTCTGAGGTTGATATTTATTACACAATTATTATTCTTATCATGGATCAAAACTTTTCACTAGGTGTTCACTTCTTTTCACTCCATTCTTTCCCTCTAAATAAATATTCTTAAGATTACGAAGTTTGTAATTAAAACAATAACTTGTGTTACACTTAAATTAAATTCTCAGACCCGTTTTATCTTCACTATGCATATATGACTCATACATATTGATATTTTATTATCCTTTTCATTTAATTGTAACTTTCATAGCACCACTCTAAACTATGACTGCACAAACATTTATTCTAGCGTCATATCTTACTGCAATTATAAGTTATTTTTTCTTAATTATTTTTTGTTACTAATTTGACGATACACACATAGTCGTTTATTCTTGTTCTGTGTTCGTAAACACGCCTATTAGACTGTTTGCGCATTTCACGTCTCCTTTATTTCTATTCCCTTATTTTCTGCATTTCCTTCTTTAGACTCAATTCAATATTCTTCTCAATTGCACAGACCCGATTTATTATTATTAATATTCTACTATTATTGCTCAAAATTTTTTTTTAAATGGCCAGTAGAATACTGACATTATTGAAAATTGTGTATTATTGCATTTTTTTGAAGAAACCCGAAATGGTTTCTTCACAACACTTATGTACCCATAAGATGTTTGTGAATAATAATAGTAATAATAACGTAGGACCAGGCACATATATGCATCGGTCCACGTTGCCATACCTCATTAACACAACAAGATGGACACCGGATTTATAAAAGTAGTTAATTCAGGGGTGGTAATATATAAAAGAAAGATTGCAATAAGGATATAGTACAGCAAGAAAGAATTAGTTCGTAGAAGGAAAGATATGAAGCAATTTTAATCTCTTAGTTTAAGGGAAGATAGAGAGTGTACACACCGACGCCATTGTGATCAGTTCTGAACCATGTCACTCAGTCTCCAACCATTGGTTACGATAGTCACGCGGACCCCAACCAAATAGTCTGCATCTACCAACATGGCTCAGACTAGAAGTTAATGACTTCAAGCACTGATGCCACGTTTTGGTTTGGCCGCCCCTAACTTTCTTCCAACCATCCCGAACACCGGTTAGCATTGCACGTCGTAGTAATCGATGTTTAGGCATACGTAACACGTGGCCCAACCATCTCAGTCGATGAAGATTCACAACCTCACCGACTGACTTACCATCATTCCCTAATACCCTGCGTCTAACCTCACTATTACTTACCCAGTGATCCCAGCAGACGCCAGCAATATTTCTAAGGCATCTGTGGTCAAATACTAATAGCTTACGAGTGTCTTCTACTCTTAATGGCCATGTTTCGCTCCCGTAAATTAAAACAGAACGAACAGCCGCGCAGTATACTCGTCCTTTTATTGATAGACGAACATCTCGCCTTCGCCACAGTTGACGTAAGTTGGCAAAAGCCAAACAAGCTTTTCGAATCCGTGCCGAGATTTCGTCAGACACCAATCTACTGGTGTTGTTCAGACTTCCAAGATAAGTGAAGTTGTCAACGTGTTCGACTACTTCACTCCCTATCCTTAGTTCAGGTGTAGACGCAGGTCAGTCCTTAAGCACAGCATGCATTTAGAGACATTGTTTATTTGAATTTGAGTGAAAATAAAATGTAAACACTCCCATTGGCAAAAAAAGTATGAATTTGTAACTCCATGAAATGCAAAGTTGGTGTAGAAAAAGAAATTCCACAACCAGGAAAGTTTTAATTCATCTGATATTCAACGTGTATTACCAAGAAATGTTAAAAATGAAAAAAGTGCACAACATCTAAAAACTATTGTAAAATAATCTACATTATTAAGAGAACATATGAGTTGGAAATCTCAAAAACATGAAAGTGGAATAACTGAAAGTCCGCATACTATCCCAGCTACAAGAAAGGCACCAGACCAGTTGATATGTTCAGCCAACACAGCAAATGGGTAACCAGCCAATATAGCACCAACTGAAATGTACAGACAATAAAATTAATTTAAGAAGAAAGGTATTTAATACGTTGATTTTTTCCACTGACAACTGCAACGTTAACTGTTGCGTGATAATATATACTTACTTACCTACACCTATTACTCTTCGTGAAGGAGCATAGGCCGCTCACCAGCATTCTCCATCCAACTCTGTCCTGGACAATCCTTTCCAGCTCCTTCCAGTTGTTATTCATCCTTTTCATATCTGCTTCTATTTCCCGACGTAATGTGTTCTTTGGCCTTCCTCTTTTCCGCTTCCATTCAGGATTCCAAGTTAGGACTTGCCTCGTGATGCAGTTTGAGGATTTGCGTAATGTATGTCTTATCCATTTCTATCGTCTTTTCCCACTTTCCTCTTCAGCTGGAGGCTGGTTTGTTCTCTCTTACAAAAGGCTGTTGCTGATGGTATCCGGTCAATGGATGTTGAGTATCCTGCGTTGACAACCATTTATAAATATTTGTACCTTCTTGATGGTGATTGTTGTAGTTCTCCTAGTTTCAGCTCCGTACAGTAGAACTGTCTTGACATTCGTATAGAAGATTCTTACTTTGATGTTAGATGACAGTTGTTTTGAGTTCCATATGTTCTTCAATTGAAGGCATGCGACCCTTGCTTTGCCGATCCTCGCCTTTACGTCTGCATCTGAACCTCCTTGTGCATCGATGGTGCTTTCCAGGTATGTGAAGGATTCTACATCTTCCAGAGTTCCGCCATCGAGAGTGATTGAATTGCTGTTCTCTGTGTTGTATTTGAGGACCTTGGTTTTCCCCTTGTGTATGTTGAGGCCTAGTGATACAGGGACTCCTGCTACACTGGCTGTCTTTATCTGCATTTGTTCGTGTGTATGCGAAAGAAGAACTAAGTCATCTGCGAAGTCCAAATCGTCTAACTGGTTCTGAGATGTCCATTGTATGCCGTATTTTCCCTCAGATGTCGAGGTTTTCATAGTCCAGTCGACCACCAGATGAAAGAGGAAAGACTAGAGTAGACAGCCTTGTCTGACTCCGGTCCTTACTTCGAATGCGTCTGTCAGCCGTCCTCCATGCACTACTTTGCACTGTAGTCCGTCGTATGAGTTCCGGATAATATTGACAATCTTCTCGGGAACTCCGTAGTGACTTCAGTGCTTCGGCTGGTATATTGTCGGGTCCTGCTGCTTACCCGCTCTTGATTTGTCCGATGGCCATTCTGATTTCTTCCGTCGTTGGTGGGTTGACATCTATAGGAAGATCTGTGTATGCTGCTTCGATGTCCGGTGGACTCATTGGAGCCGGCCTATTCACGAGTTCTTCAAAATACTCTACCCATCTGTTCCGCTGTTGTTGAATTTCAGTGATTGGCCTGCCTTCTTTGTCCTTAACCGGTCTCTGTGGTTTACTGTATTTCCTTGCCAGTTTCTTCGTTGTATCGTAAAGCTGTTTCATATTTCCTTCTCTTGCAGCTTTTTCCGCCGTCGTTGCTAGTTCTTCCACGTATTTCTGCTTGTCGGCTTTAATGCTCTTCTTCACTTGCTTGTTTGCTTCTATGTACTCAGCTTGTGTTTGGACTTTCTCTGCTCGTGTTCGGCTGTTGTTAATTGCTGTCTTCTTTTTCTTCCTTTCTTTGATCCTGTCCAATGTTTCTATGGAGATCCATTCCTTATGATTATGCTTCTTGAGGCCCAGAACCTCTTGACACGTTGAATTTATTGCTTATTTGATACTTTTCCAGCTGTCCTCCATAGTAGTTTCTTCTTCTTTCAGTAGATCCTGTAAGGCTTGGGACCTGTTGTTGAGAGTTATCTTGAATTCATTGAGTTTGTCAGTATCTCGAAGGAAGGCTGTATTGAACCTTTGTCGTGCTGTTTGTCCAATTGTCCAGTTCTTCTTTAACTTCAGTTTTAAATTGGCTACAAATAAGTGGTGATCTGAAGCTATGTCAGCTCCTCTCCTGGTTCTCGCATCTTCCACTGTCCTTCGGAACTTTTTATCGATGCAAATATGATCTATCTGGTTCTCTGTAATGTGGTCCGGTGGGATCCATGTAGCTTTGTGTATACGTTTGTGTAGAAATATTGTGCCGCCTATGACCAATTTGTTGATTGCAAACAGATTTGCAAATCTTTCCCCATTTTCGTTTCTCTCTCTCAGTCAATCCATGTCGTCCCATGATATCTTCCTATCCGGTGTTGTCTATTCCGACTTTGGCGTTTAGATCTCCCATCAGAATGGTGAGGTCATTTCTTGGGCACTTTTCTATGATTGATTGCAGCCTCTCATAGAATTGATCTTTAATGTCGTCGGTACTATCATTGGTGGGTGCATAACATTGGATAATATTCATTGTGATCCCCTCCTTCTTTGTTTTGAATGATGCTTTGATGATTCTGGATCCGTGAGATTCCCATCGTACAAGTGCATTTCGTGCTACTTTGGACAGCATTAGAGCAACTCCCTGAGTGTGTGGAGCATTTTCTTCTTCGTGACCAGAGTATAGCAGCATCTCTCCCGTATTTAGCCTTTGTTGTCCAGCTTGTGTCCGATGGGTTTCGCTGATTCCCAGTTCTGCCAAGTTGTATCTCCTCATTTCCGCTGCTATTTGACTGGTCTTTCCGGTCTCCCACATTGTTCGGACGTTCCATGTACCTATAAAACTTGTTGCTCTGGTTGTTAGAAGGGGCATCGGCCTCATGGCTTCCGAAGGAGCTCGGCTTTCACCATGAGGCGTCATATTTCTTCCAAATGAAAACCTTCTAACTCCCAGGGCAGATTTTAAATGGTTTAAATTAATTTTTCTGGTTAGGGTTTTTTACGGAGTTAGTTTTCTACGGGATGGGGTCCCTAACCCCATGCTCAACCCTCATTCTTTACCCGGGCTTAGGACCGGAAGTAACTCTAGAAGAGCTACAGGCGGAGTTTGACAAAATATAGGACTTCAAATAAATCCTTGAAAAAACATAAAATAATAAAGTCAACAAAGTAGAATAATCCTTTAGAAAAATCATTTGTTAGTTCAATGAATCTGTTCAACTACCTTCAGGAAAATTATAAATAGGTCAAAAGACAGTCAACATTCAAAACATTAAGTGCCTAGTTCCCCACATTTTTCAAGGACTTCTTGGACACTAAGCAACTAATCTAAGTGACGGCTTCGTCAACATAACCCAATGTAAAGTTAGCTCTTTATCACAAACTGATATTAGCAAAGAAATAATTGACAATCAGTGAGCACTGGACAGATAATTCATTCTAGTTTGGAGTTCCTAATTAGAATAAACAAACATCAAAAACAAGGGATCGTGTGTAAGAAATTCATCAAGGGAATGTATGAGTTCATAGAAGTCCATTTCGATTAAATGGAAAATTCTTCCTAAATGAGAACCTTCGGTTAAAAGTGAAAAAGCTTGCCCTTATATCTAAGGAATTACTATTCCATCATACATACGAACGGTGTTTAGTTTACATTAATTTGCTCACCATGCATCAGTAGGCCTCAACATACACAAGTGAAAAGCAACATACTCAAATACAACACAGAGAACACCAGCTCAATCACACTTGATGAAGAAGCTCTGGATGAGGTACAATCTTCCACGTACCTATCGGGGCAGCATTATCGATGGACAAGGAGGATCTAATGCAGACGTAAAACCAAGGATTGGCAAAGCAAGAATAGCATTCCTACGGTTGAAGAACATATGGAGCTCAAAACAATCAACATCAAAGTCAGAATCTTCAATACGGACGTCAAGACAGTTTTAATGTACGGAGCCGAAACTTGGAAAACTATCACAACCATCATCAAAAATGTATAAGTATTTATAAACAATTGTCTACACAATATACTCAATGTCCGTTAGTCGGATACCATCAGCAACATTCTACTGTGGGAGAGAACAAATCAGCTTCCATATGAAGAGGAAATTAGGAAAACATAATGAAGGTGTATATGACATACATTGAGTAAACCATCAAACTGCATCACGAGTCAAGCGCTAACTTGAAATCCTGAAGGGAAACGGAAAAGAGGAAGATCACAGAACACATTGCTCCAGGAACTGGAAGCAGATATGCAAAGGACAAACAACAGCTGGGAAGAATTGTCCGAAACAGAGTTCGATGGAAAATGCTGGTGCGTGGTCTATGCTTCTACACAAGGAGTAACAGTCGCAAGTAGGTAAGGAATTCGCTCATGTGATTGAACTGCGAATTAAAATAAAAACCCTAGTGTAATTAGTGATTTGAGGTGATTTTGAGTACTGTTAAAGGTGTGTGGATGGTTATCAGCTCCTGGTTGCCTACAGAGTAAATATATAATTAATAAAGTGAAATAATTATTTCCAAGTCGATCGTATTTGAAACAGAACAAAACTATTTCAGGTGATTTTGAATTAAAAAAGATTTTGTTAGAGAAACCAACATAGTTTCTATTGATTCCCGTACTTTCCAGAGGCCAATAAATAACCAAAAAAGAATGGGCATTAGATTAATCGTAAGAGCGTTTAACATCCAGCTGAAGGGTTGCTGAATGAATTCGCAATTAATCTAATTCCGTCTAAGTGGTTAGATTCAAAACTAAGGATTCATTTTTTTCTTGACCTGCATGCTTGATTCACATCTAAAAAAGTTATTTAAAAATAATCACTCACAATTCGCAATCAAAGCACTCAACGCATGTGCAGTACCGCTAAAAGCAGGTGGAGCAAGTTCAACAGCTAAAACACCACATAAAGCAATTGTCCCGATAACAGTAGTACCAAGTACCAAGCTGATAATGAGGAGTATAGTCTAAAAAGAAAAGGTTAAAGAGAAGATTCAATCAAATTATCCAATGGTTTTCATAAATGAATAAACTTTAATAAATATGTTCATAAATGCCGTAAACTGTTCGATTCGAGCAATCTTCCACTGGCCTTGGGCTCACCAATGGGTAACCTTAACAGGAATTCCTGTAGTTGCAATTAACGTAATTGAATCATATCGTGAGTGAGAATGTGTATCACTGATGACAATGGATGATGGCAGCGCAATATCATGAATTGATTGAAATTAGAAATATGAATAATTAGACATCAACTCAGTGATCTAAAAGTAAGGCTTCCAGAGTGAGACCTACAGCTCAATTCTTGAAGGGGAACGAGTGTGCATTGCTGGTGAGTCCCATGGTAGGACGATCAGTGGTTATCGGATAAATTTAGACAGTGATTTTCACTAAGAATTGTTCTTGAGGTTCGTACTCCTATTATTACTGTATAAAAGAAGTTAAAAATTTTATATTAGTAATTCTAGTCATGCAGTTTGGAAGAGATATTAGATACGTTTTGAAATATTCCCCTTTACGTTTTTAAACACGATCCTACTTTAGACAGGATTATAAAATGAGATCAAATGTAACATGAGATGCACAGCTCATGATCGCTAACCATTTCACTAATCACTACAATTTCATAAACCGTAACTAGTAGAGCATATATATGATCTTAAACTATAAAATATTGTCAAAGATAAAAGATTTCTAAGAGCAAAACATATCTAAAACTTGACTTATTTTACTCTTGTTTAGAATGTAGAGGAAGAATCTCATCATGATTAATAAAAATCGAATAACGAAAACAGATAAGTGTAATTGACAATTTTTTTGTATCAAGTCCTACAATTACGAAGATAAAAATAGAGATTAATTGTGAAATGTTACTGAAAATAACACACTAATTTATATTACTTAACAAGTAGACACTAATTAATTTTTGGAGATTCAAATTTTAAATAGATGTGTGAAGATAACAATGCTATTTTCCAACAATATTGAAATTATTTTAAGAATTAATTGTATAATACAATCTTGTAGACCGTTCATCATCATCATTAGTCAATGAAAATGAGATCAGACTATCAAGTTGTCATACTTATAGACTCAATATCGAGTTATCATCCATGGCTAACTAACAAGAAGTGAATTGATGACTTTGTGCTTAAAGAAAATGACTTTCAGCAATTGAACTGTAGGCTCAAGCATTGCTTTCCTCACCTTATTGCTTAAACAACTGGTTGGTATTATATGGATTCATATAAAATATGTCTATTAGAAAGGAGCACAACGTATAACTCAGTAATTTAGTTATAATGATCAGTATATGCAGTTTGAAACACTGATTTTGAGAATTAAATAGATAAATTAAATAACTGGTTAATCAATATTGACTACTGACAGTTTGATGCACTCAAATTAATTTATTAGTCGGATATTTAAAAATGACATAAATTACACTGTACGTTTTGATATGTGTTTGATGTAAGTAAAAATCTTCATCTCTTACGTGGTATTTTTCTTTGAATCTAGCCACATTAGTTTTGTTCTGTTGTAATAAGTAGTAAATAGCTGTTTACTCGGGAGTTACAACAGCTAGTCATATTGTAGTGAACGAGAACACCAGTGGGGACAACCAAATATATTTGAACACAAAATTACAGAATCTCTCAATAAAATCTTAGAACCATACAGCGAATACTTCATTTGCAAAATTTTAATGAATTAACTTAGACTTGGTTGTTCCTTCGTTTACACGCCAATCATTCTGTTTCCATTCTCTTCTTCTCGATCTTTTTAACCTTCTGCCACCAGGCATTTCACTTTCAATTGGTGACACATACAACTTATATCTGTCGACATCAGTAGCGCACAACACAATACTAGTAGCCGTGTCCACATTGTGTCAATATCGTGGATTGAGTGAAGTTAGACATTAACACCGTCAGATCCTGGCTCAATGGTCTAGAAGTTAAGCGTTCGCGCGCAAGATCAAAGGTCTCGGGTTCGATTCCCACATGAGGAGTCGTGGATGCGGATTGCTGAGGATTCCCATGCTAGAGCGGAACGACGGTCCATTGATTTCTGGTTTTTAATGGTGGTTTAAAATCGATCGGCTCATGATTTCAGTGAAACTTAACAATCTACACAACCCCATACCGATAATTTTGACAAGTCCTAACAATACTTAAAGTCAAATACATGAATGAAACTGCACTTGGTGACTTATGCATGATACTTTTCTATACCGCAAACATGAATATCAGAAAAAGAAACAAAAAAAAACTTGCACTTACTAAAGAAGCATTATGATTGGTAATCCAACTTAGACAACATAATGTACCACTAGCAATTAACATTTGTATAATTATTAATGGAATCCGACGACTAGGCCATGAAAATACTCTCTAAGGTCAAAATACAATACAATATGTGAATTAATAAGGTGATAAACATATTAAAGAACAAAAATCAACTAAGGAATTCAATGTTGAATTTAATATGATTGACACATAACACTTAATAAATTCTCAATAAAATTATACACAAATTTTATTATTTCAAATTTTGTCCAAAATGGTCATTCGGAAGTAACCTAGAAACCTCATCTTTTTGGAAAGTATAAACTTAAATTTTATTATTATTGTTACCTAGTAACTTGTATCAACCTGATTGTGCCAGTAAATTGACTACCTTTCTTTACTAGTTTTTCGAACATGTTATTATCATTATATAATTAAACACAATAAAATAAGCAACCATTATCAACTTATCAATTCACAAGACGTTTAGAGAGAACAGGAGTTTATTAATTGCTTAGCGAAAAGATAATACAAATAGATTTTCAATACGAAGTGATTTTGCAACAGATGTTATATCGTAGAAGAAAAGTAAGAGAACGATGATAGTGACTGACAATTTATCGAGTGGCATTAAACGACTGATTGAATACGCATTCAGGATATTGTCATCTGACTTACATAATATGTATCGGTCTTATTTGATTAAAATCAGAGAGTTTTGTGGATATCATAGTAAGTTTAATAGTTGGATTCATGGGTCAATTTAAGCTAGACCACCATGGAAAACCTGGAAGCACTAGAAGGCCGTTTCGTCCTAGTGTGAGACTCCTCAGCAGGGATGAACTTTATGTGGTAATGTGAAATACATGATATCATCATTTTCTACGAAGTGTGATTATGCTAGATATGAAAATAATTCGTTAAGTCATTGGTTATTGATTCATTTTACAAAGCTTAGAATGCCCAACCAGGATTGATGAGATCAAAGAATTATAAGCTTAAAAGGGCTCATAATTAGTTAGTGTGGCAAAAGAGAAGTTTTAAATATCTTCTAAAATTTTCAGCCTGTTTAATCTAATAGAGACAGAAAAAGTGTTTAAGCCAATTTGAAAATACATGGTAAATATACTATCGAGAGAATGGTGGATTTTCAAATCATTTTATTTGTATTCATGTGATAGTGTAGGATGAACAAATGCACATGACGTAACAAAGCTATAGTGAGCACTAATGTAAGTGCTACAAGGAAAAAATGTCCATAACTAACATCCAATCCACATTTACACATTGATTACAATGTAAACCACTTATTATGACAGAAAGTATAGACTGTATTAGTTAGGAACTAACGAATATTGTTTTGAAATGTCTCAATCTTTTGTACTGATAAATGCATATGTACAGAGTGCAGGAATAACTAACTGAACAAGGGAGTCGACTATATTTAAGGTTTCCCAAGATAATTCAACAGGTATAACTTCAGCAGTTGCCAACTATTTTACTTATAAAGTAGAACAGTTATGAGAAATAACAAGTGTCCCGTTTTATAACATCTGATTTATGTTGAAATGTATTACAGTATTTAAGGTCACAATCACAGACTAGTGATCAAGAAGATTTATTGTATTAAGTCACACCTCTAGAGGAAGCAAAAAAATGTGAATAGTAGTAATAATATGCTGAAGACAGAAAGTACTGATTTTGGATAACTGTTTACTTTTTTTGAAATTATATTCACACACCTCAATTCAACATAGCTTAGTTGGGATAAAGGGTCCAGGAATTCTGGGGTCTTGAATTTCCCTTTCAATACATGCAACAGATATTGATTTTCGTTTGACGATAACACTATGAAAGTAATACTTATTCACAATTGATTGATCACTGGGTGGTGATCAATGTCACGTGTGTCAAGTCCTTCTTACTGCAGATCGAATGCTATCGACCAAGATGCAATGTGGCCACTAGTCTAGGTGACTCGAAATTGCTTAAGTCAAACGAAATGTATTTAAGAAAGATGGAGGTAGTTCTCTAGTAAATAGATCTAATGACTTGGAAATATTTTACATAAACCATTCTAGTGTATGTTGTCACTGAAACAATATGAAAGCTGAAAAACAATCAATTTATGACGTAGTCACTTAATAAAAGATACCTGTGTATCAGATGAGCACACGTTGCTGCATATAAAAGTCCTCGATGAGGTTGTAAATATCATGTTACTGAGTTGGTTTATCAGAAACAATCAGAAATTAAAGCTAGTATGTGACTTAGTCGTGATATTATTTGGGTTCAGATAGGAACAGGAGTAATAAGAATAGGGAAATTTTTTGAAATCTTATGTAACAGCTTCTACTGGTCCTAATTGTTTTATAATTCTTCATGTTAATATCGTACATAGTTTTTTACTATAGTGAGGAATAATTGAAACAAAACAATTTAATTTCATTTAGTAAAAGTAAAGATTCAACGAAGAAAGTTTTCTTTTCGACAAAATCATTTATTAAAGTTATACACTCGTATTTATACATTAATCAAATAACTAATACTACGAATGTACAACTTAAGTAAAGATTTCATGGGAAGGAACGTGAAGTTTTGAATCTTAGTTCAACTCTGAAAAAATGAAACCTATTTTTTACAATGAGATAAATAACTTGAGAATCATTATCAGTTATAAATTCACTTGGTATTGTTTACTTGAATCTTCCCATTGATGTTTAGAACTTCAATTGACCCGTCTCTTATTGGCATATGTGCATACTGTGCGCATTGCCCCGTTATTGCCTTAATTCACAAGCATTATAAGCAAGGATGGATAGTGGCCAGCAGTGGAATCCATGACGCGCGTTTCATCCTATGTGGGACTTGTCAGCTGGATGTACATGTACCTCAGAGCTTATGTTCACTCTGGGACTCGCAATACGCACAGCATGGACATATGCCAATAAGAGACTCATCAATTGCAGTCCTAAATACCAATGGGAAGATTCAAGTAAACAATACCAAATAAATTCAAACTTCACCCCATTGCACAAGCAAGTGGCTATCAGGACTCAGTAGCTAACTGGACAACGCAATGGCGTTTGAAGCGAACGGTACCGAGTTCGAGTTCCGGAGTGAACATCAACTCTTTAATGCAGGTACATCCAGCTGACAAGTCCCAAATAGGAAGAAACGGGCGTCATGGACCCTATTGCTAGTCACTATCCATCTTTGCTCATTATCAGTTATGATAAATTACTTGTGTCGACGTAACAGTTATGAATGGAAAAGCTTAAAATGAATTTGCGTATTGTGCAAATAGCGTAACTATTAGTAGTTCACTGAACTATGAATATAGGTGAAAGCGTTTATTTTTCCTAACCTGCTTTTTTCTGGTATTTCATTTCGTTGCAAATAAATAATTGTAGAATTAAGTTTAACCATTTCTGGCATTGATTTTACCTCAATTTATTATCAGCTGAGAGTTCATGATGTTAATTTTTGGCATTAACATATATAACCGCATAAATATTGAAAAAAATTACCAAAACTAATGACGGATAGCCTATCCTAAGACGTTATATTTTGTGTTAATTTGATTGAGGTTACTTCAATGTTGAGAAATACGATTGAAAATATTTTGAAAGTGTATAGGTCGTGAGGATATAAGTATAGGTGTCGTTCAAGTATTGGTTGAATGTGGTGGAACCACTAAGTGAGTGTTACTGAGATTAAATTCAGGGTAATATAAGCACATATTGTAAACTGATAAAGCACATTGTGAAACTTTAATGAATGAAGTGATTAGGATGTATATCGTATATGTAGTCCTTATGGTCTACTTCAGCACTATGTTATCTAGAGAAGGGATAGATTAAAAAAAGGCTATAGTCGACCAGACTAAAATATGACATCAACTGAGGAAGTCATTGACTGTTGGTATGAGTTGTGTAGAAAAGTGCTGGCTTTCCAGTTGACGTCTAGTGAAACAACTATAACTAGTAGTTGGAAACTTTAAGCGACATCACTTAAGTCAGATAGATACTTCAGTTTCCTCTAAATTCTGAATTTTGATATTATTTTGGATTTATTAGTTTTTTTTTTGAAACGTATTTCACCGTACAATTCTAGGAAAGAAACTAAAAAGACAATTTAAATATTTAGACACCCTTACAAACTAATGTATTACCCTTTGTCTTCCTACCAATTTTATTGATATTGTATGCTTGATTAACAGTTTATATTGAATCGATTTGATGTCATAATCGAGAATATTCGTCGTTTAATAAAAACAAATTGAGGTTAATCCGTATCAGAAGGGGTTTTGTGGAGATTGCAGTAATTTCAATAGTTTTGATCATGAGTCAATTGAAACTAGACCACCATGGAAAACCTGGAAGCACCGGACAGTCCTTTCGTCCTACTGTGAGACTCCTCAGCAGTGGGCACCCACGACCCCGCCTCGCTAGATTCGAACCCAGAACCTATCAGTCCCGTGTGCAAGCGCTTAATCACTAGATATATATTTTGGAGTTCTAGTGAGAAGTGGTGACCAGTGAGGTTCAACCGGGTCAGTTGAGACATAGTAACTCATTGACGACAATAGCGGATGTGTCGCTCAATTTTCTGGGGTAGTTGAAGTTAGACATTAACACCGTTGGATGCCGGCTCAGTGACCTAATGGTTAAGCACTCGCGCGCGAGAATGATAGGTTCTGGGTTCAAATGCCACGACGCGGGGTCGTGGATGGGAACTACTGAGGAGTCCCACACTATGACGAAACGGCCGTCTAGTGCTTCCAGGTTTTCCATGGTGATCTAGCTTCAACTGACTCATGATCTCAACTATTAACGTTAATCCATTTGAAAAAAATGAGATTTGTCTCTCTTTGAATATCCATATATTAAATATCTGCTTAAGTCAGTCAAATTTATTTATTCTTATTTATTTGAATACATAAATATTGGTACAAAGCGGAGTCAAATACACATGCGCCATACATTAACAATGCGGCAAAGAAAAGATGCGGAATGTAAAGTGTGTATAATAAAGCAAAAAACAACGAACAGAAATTAATAGATATGAGTGAAATAATAATAATGGAAGATACAGTTCAGTTAGCAAAAGTACAACTAGGAAGAATTCTTTCAGTTAAAGAAGATACATTGATTTTTAATGAACAAAGTGAAAGTAACAGCAGGATCGATACATGCTTCTATTCTGAATTATACATGATAACGTCTCAAGCCACTGTGTCGCACCATCTCTAGGACGACAAGCAAGGAGTCGTGAAGGACAGAAGCAAACACTGTACAGCTACCATCCATACCACGACATCACGTCATAAACGGACCACCTACTCGCATTTTGCAACCAGTCCCAGCGTCAGCAAATAATGCATGATGTGGAATTCTCTGGGGCGACATTTATAAAATACATATCTAAGCCACTGAAGTCGATGTTTCAAGATAGTGACACTAATTGAATTATCGCCGCTGTGCCCGAACACGATGTCGAACCTCTGCATTAATAGCATAATGTTGCCACTGGATGTCAGCAATCCTTCGGAGACAACGATGACCAGACACACAGTCGCCTAACATCATCAACTCGGAGAGGCCAGGTTTCACAAGCATAGAGTAAAACTGCTCTTACCGACGCCTTGTAGATCCGACCTTTTACAGCCGGACTAACATCACGAAGGCGCCAAAGATGGCCCAGATTGGCATAAACTTCTCTGGCTTTCATTATACGTGAATTTATTTCATCATTCAAACTATCAACAGCACTTATGCAGCTAATTAGATACACGAACTTCTCAACTACTTGTATCCGCTCACTACCCAGGGTGAGTGCAGGATTATGGTCCTGCCAGTTTTGTGAAAGTACTTTGCATTTCGAAGGTGCAAAGCACATACCTTACCTACGGATACTGATTGCCAACTGATTTAGTGCGGATTGCATGACTTGGGTATCATCACACAGTAAAATAGTATCATCCACATACTCAATGTTGAAACGTCTTTCTCCAGGCAACAGATCTGCACCATCATTACCTACATCCGTCAGAGCTATTCCCAGAACGTCATCAATGGCAAAGTTGAAGAGCAATGGTGATACTGAGCAACCCCACTGCTTGAATGGAACAGTAGAGAGAGATGGTTATATGCCCTAATTCTGCCTGAGGTATTTGTATATAGGGCTTTGGAGATATTATTAAACTTCTCAGGCACATCCTACTTCAATAGACAATACCAGTGAACCAGCCTGCACATCTCGAAACAATCTTTCTTGGATTTTGAACAATCTACGAAGTATGACGGAATTCAATAGTTTGGACGCAATCGAAAGTGGACGTATCCCCGACGGTTGTTACAGAAACGACATGAACCCTTTTTAAGGATAATAACAACTATTGACTCATTCCATGATGTTGGAACACTCCCTAATTCCCAGACCATTCTAAAGAACTTAGTTAGTTCCCTAACCTGAAAGTCACCACCATCTTTACAAAGGACCGAAGCTAAGTCATCTGAGCCTGGTGAATTGTAGCGCTTCAAGAGTCGGAGTTCCTTGCGGAATTCTGCCTCGTTAGGTGGACCAGTCGTCACAGGCCATGGAGAGCAGGACAGTGATCGATGTTGCCGGAGCAGCAGACCAGTTGAACTGGTACTCGTCCAAGACGTCGATTGGTGTTAATGGTTGGCATCTCGTCATCTTCATAGATTGTTTCGCTCACACCAGACTTCTCGCTGCCAGTGACTTGGATGAGTTGAAAGAGCTCCCAGCAGTTACCGGACGCAATTGCTGTTTCCAACTCAGTGGCACGCTGCGACTACCAGGCTTCTCGGTCCCTACGCAAGCTTTGCACAATCTCATTACGTAACAGTCCTCGTTTATGATCAAACTCACAGCCATCCGGAGTAGACTGACGTACTTCAGTGATTTGTAAGGATGCTGTAGAAACCCTGTGCCTATAATTGGGACGTTTCGCGGAGCCGCATGCAACTTTACTCGCCATTTTCATGGCGTCATGCAAGTGCATTCAACGCTCATCTATACTTTTCGGTGGATGGTAGCTAGCCTTGAACCCAGTTGGCTTTGACATTTATTTGCAATAGAAGCTGCAACCAATTGGCTGATATCGATCCGTTTGGGACGATAAATTTGTTGGCCGCTGAAACGTAAGATAAAATTGACGTAAACAAGAACATGATCAGAGTCCAGATAGATACTCCACAAGGAGTGGCAGTCTTGTACACAACTACGCCAGTGGTAGGTGATCGCGATGTGATCAATCTGAGTCCAGGTTTGAGATGCAGAAGGAGGACGTCAGGTGACGCATGGGCGATGACTGTAGTGGTAGGTAGTGCGAGCCGGAAACAGGTTGTATTCTGCAAAAAGTTGTGGTAGGTGGTCACCGTTATCTAACAATGAAATGAGTCTATCAATCAATGGAAAACCCGAAAAAATTGAAAAAACAATTTGTATATAACCCAAACAAACACTTAAGACTAGAAAATATCCGACTGTGAACCGTCTTACTATCAAATATATCCAAACTTAGTTGTCTTAATAAACAATAATCATAAAAAGCATGGGCCAGAATTATGAATATCCATCCATACACCAAGTAAACAATCTGATTGTAACTTACAGAAAACACATTCAAATCAGCTACTATTCCAACTAACATAGACCCAAATATTCCACCGAATTCGTAACTACTGGCAACTAAATAAGCTGAAATAAATAGGTGAAAATAAGTGTTTTTTTTGGAAAAGAAAGACAGTGGTAGAAATTTCTGAACTAATACACGATTTTTTCAAATGAAATTTATATTGATTACTTACATTAAATGAACAAACTAAACATCATCCGAAATATATTCACTTTATAATTTAGTAACATCTATGAAACAGTATTTGGTGAATTGTAGACTTATGTGATTTGTTTGAGAACTTTATAAACGTTTGCTTTTAATTAACATCATCAACTGGATATACAACATTAAAATTAAGTATAGGTTCATGATACTAGACATTGAATCATCACTCTTGTATGGAAACGAGAGGATTTAGAGGATCAACTAGATGGATTGAGAATGTGACATAATAAATGTAAATTCAACGTCTATACCACGAAACTATAACTCAAGTATATATCATCTAGATATATTCCAAAACATAACCGAACACAGTGAATACAGTCCATGGGTTTCTTACGCTAAATTTCGTTAGGAGATTTTGATAAAGTCTAATGAGGGAAGAAAATGCATTGATTGCGCCAGTAATTTCTTGTTATTTCACTTTATAGGTACAGCTAAAAATTAATTACATTTCCAGTTTTAAAACTGAACGGAAATACTACCAAAGTTTGCAGTTGGACATTGAACAAATCTACGCTCGCTGTTAGATCTAAACCACAGTAACCAGTCAGTATCATAGACACAACATTACTACTGAGCCATGAACAAAAAGACTGGCTCCTCTTGGAAGTTTGAGATGTTCACACTAATTTATGAGAAGAGATCAAGAGTAAAACTGTTGATTGAATTTAGATAAATTCGGTTACTATTTTAATAAGACATTCGATTGTATTCTGATAAAATTTGTTATGTAGTTCACTCGGTTTTAGGTTATAACTGCGTAAATGTAATCAATACTTATCGGGAAGAGAAACAGCAAGTAAGGAGTGATATTTATTCTTTGATATATATTCTTCACAGGTTAGGTATTGCCTTCTTAATAGTCGAGGACAGAGTCACGAGTATTGGGGGAACAGTGTTGAAGAGTAGTTGCAGGTACTCATTAATTGCGGTCACTCTTCTGTAGCAAGGATCAAGCTACAACAGTGATATTTAGTCCAATTTATAACACGTTCATTTCTGATCAATCAGCGAAATTCAAATTTCAATCGCTAAGATTATTTTAAATATAATTTTCACATATAATGACTTCTCTGTACTTGGTGCCCAATTTCTCCCACACTATTCGTCCTAATTTTGACGAATATTTGCATAAAATTAAAAAGTTTATTTTACCAACGTAACATAATTGATGAATGGGACGGCAAAAAAACAAAACAAATATGCACAAACCGGTACTTTGTGAGTAACCATGTTTATTATTCAAAAGCATAATTGCAATCCAATCGCCTATTGCATAACGTAAAATGTACTGCACATGTGAACACTAGCGGAGATACCCAACAATAAACGTTGTCTTGGACTTAAAGTACGAAACAATTTTGATATTTGATTAATAATATTCACTTTAATGGGTTGAACTGTCACGCCATTATCGTAATTTTCAATAAAATCTTTATCTTGACAGTTGTTCGATAATCGGCTAGTTTCTAAAATGTAAAAAACTGGATGCTGATAATTTAAAACACGTGATTGTCAAAGAACTTTCAAAATATGATTTACCGGCTCAGTATTTAATTATGAAATTTTTTAGATGGCTCAATAAGTATAAACTGGTCTACTTAGTTTTAAGTTATACTTATTTATGTGAGGATTTGTGATATGATCTGCTTGCTAGACCAAACTACATAAGGCAAAATTTAAATATGGGAAGGTCACATTTGGCAGTCAAGTGTATTTTAACCACCACTTAGTCAACCGATTCCCGAAAGCGTGAAGTTACGGTTCTATTGTAAACCTATTTATAATTGCTCGTTTCTAGAGAAAAAAACAAACGTGAGTGTTGATACTTCTTGGTTAGCTAACTCGAGTAAAATGGAAATGGGTTTGAACCCGTGATTAAGTGGGTGGACCATCATGCCACTGCTCCAATTAGGGAAATTGATTTTCAATCACTAAATTTTAGGTTCAAATACCTATCTATTCGATTGGCTGTCGGGCAAAAAGGTGTGGATTAAAAGTGACCACAAGAAATTGTACCGCGTTACTGAGTTGGAAAATAAAGAAATCAAGAAATCTTGTATTAAATTAATGCAAGTGGATTTTAAGAGGTAATCAGAGAAATTAGCTTAATGCATATATATACTTTGATTTTTTAAGCGTTTCTTAATAAGTCATTACCAAAACGGAGCCTGGCAAAGATGCACTTTGGCCCAAGTTTCTACACCCCATTGGGACGACGAGATGGAAATAACAAGAGAAACATCAATGGATTGAATTATAAAGTAGCAATGATAACAAGAAAGACTGAACATTAGAATATGGTTCAAAAGGACAGAGTGGTTAGACACGTACAGGGGTATACTGGAGTTCAAAATCGAGAGGAAGGTGAGGAATGAATGAATCTGCACCATTTTGGAAAATTCTGAACTGTCACAATAAGTCTCCCACCACTGATAGCGCTTAACGCGTGGATACCAACTAGGCAGTCTGCGTCTATTGTAGTGAGTGCTACTAATGTCGACAGATATAAGTAGTATGTATCACCAGTTGAAGTGGGAATGCCTGGTGGCAGAAAATTAAGATCGAGAAGAAAATAGGAACAGAGAATGATTGGTGTGGAAACGAAGGAACGATCAAATTTGAGGTAATTGACTAAAACTTTGCAAATGAAGTAGTTACTGTATGGTTCTCAGATTTTATTGAGAGATTCTGTAGTTGCGTACCCAAATACATTTGGTTGTCCTCGCCTTTGTTTTCTTTCACTACACTATCAACAGTCAATGACTTTGTTGACTAATGCTATGTCTTGGTTTGAGTATTCCTACCTCTCTTCCAGTCCTCTTCTACACCACCGAAAATTGCCCGTCAAAGTAGGTGGTGGTTAGACCAACAAGCCATGTATTATGATGAACGTATCTATTCCCACTAAATTATCACACATCAAATTATATCCTGAATGGATAAGAATAAGACTAAATACAATCAATTTTGACCCCATCACAATAATTCATATCTTATGAGGTCAAATTTAACCCGATAAGTCTCCTGATTCCCATGCTATTCGGATATCAAATCCAATATAATTATTTATTGGAAGCGTAAAGTTTCTTAGCTATGTTAACACAATGTTTCAATAACTTTTTGGAGTAATTATAAAACATTAGATAACACCAGGCTAACGTAAATATGAAAAGTATTTGGTGGGGCCCTTTATTTTGTCACTTAGATCGGACGATGTTTGTTGACGGGCTCTCCACTTTAGTGGCCCGAGTTCTGACTCCAAGTAGATCACATGAATGATTGTTATTGAATTGTATATGCCGCCTATCCTCGCATGTCTTTATCGACTTAAACCACGTTCAGTGAATAACGGAATCAAACAAGTCAAATGACGCGAATCGATTTTTGAATACATATATTTTGTATACAAAGCGAATGAAATAGAGCAAAGCAAAACGATGCGCAGTGGAGATGGAGGGTAAGCCAACTCCCATTTGACCCAGCGTTAATCAATATTTATAGTTACACAAAAATAAGTTACATACATGTGATGAGTAGTGGGGATAAGAAATGTACACACACCTACGCGCTCATATAAAAACAGTCAAGATTGATAAGCGAATAATTAACAAGGTCAAAATGTGACTCAAGTAGAATGAATAAAATGGGCTGTCCGAAAGCTGGAATAAGGCGGTATATGGGCTTAACATAATAGCCGACACTACAAGTGTTCAGAACTAGTTAGTGATAGTAATAAACGTATTCATTTGATGTATATAATAGTTTGATTTGCTTTAGAGTGGTTGAAATGTTACACTAGAACTTTAAGGTAAACGGGATAAATGCTTATTAATCATCGAGTCATAGATTTATACTAAAAATCAAGCACTTCAATACCACTGACAAGGTAGCATGGTTCAGTATCCTAAAACTCTTGATTCACAACAAAGTTGCACTTTATCAATAAGTTAATGTTTCCCATACACAAAATAACAAGTGCACATTTTGTAATTTTACAAAAGATTTTCTAATCCGTACTCACAAAAATTAAGATCGCTGTTTCTCAATTAGTGGATTCCAAATGAACAACTATTCATATCTTACACGAAATCTCTATGATCAAGTTTTTTTTATTATAACAGGAAATTTAAGAGGAATTTTATTGGACTGATTAAAGTAATAACATGATCTCACTTTCATTACAACGCTTTTCTTGATTACTTGTATCATAACTGTTTTGATCCAATTTCGAAGTGGACATTAAACTTTGACAAGTATCATCATAGCTTTTGTGTTTTACATCTGAGTTGAGATGCTTCCCAAATAATTGGTTAGATAATGTTACTCTAGAAGGACTAAAATATTTAGTTGGTATATTCTTAGGATCGATTTTATTTAGCGTATCAACCGTTCGCGAACGCAGATAGACATTGAGAAGTAAAGCTGATATTATGCAACATGCTCCTGTAAAATTCAACAAATTCATAAATTTCAAATAGATGTTAACATATAACAAAGATATCAAGCATTACTTTTAAATAGGAAAAGTTATATTTTGTTAGTAGACTTTGAAAGCTACTACTTATAGTGAATCCAAGAAGGTCATTGATTTGATGGTAACTTTCAAAAAACTGATATCAGTTTAGAATTAGTTAAATAAAATAAGCAATTGACTTCGATTATATTTCATGCTGAATATTCTCGATGAAATTAAAACTCGAAGAAATTCAAGTGTTTCGGAGGATACATCGCTGACTACCAGATGTTTTGGAGAAATTCAATAATTAGCATATGTCAGAGTAACCAGATCAGGAGGTAATAGTTATTCATGAAATTTCTGGTTGGTGATCTAAACATTGCGAAGAACTGGATCATTTTCAAAACTTTTCATTTCGATTAAGCTTTTCTGGTTTCGATTAGTGAAAAGTGTTGCAACTTCAATTGATATACTATTCGAGAAAATATTTTTTACGTCTGGTGATCGTACATGTTATCATAATCACAATGACTTCATTGATCATGTACTTCCTATAATACTGATCGAGCAGGTTATGATTAATGACAATAGAATTAATAATGATAATTTGTATACATTTGATTTTTTTTAAACTGTCTTACTAGGTTAACTGGTGGGAAAATCATCAAACCACTCAGCCCACAACCAGTGGAACTAAGGTTTAAACTTTATTCCGCTTATTTCGACCCCCTTCCCCAGAAAAATATGGGGTTTACAGTAATGTAGGAAACAATTAAGAATTTACTGCATTAGGATTCCTATATTACGTGGGATGTGTAAAATACGATTTACATCAATGGAAAAAAATCACTTCAAATTTGAATTTCATGTTTACAAATGTGCAATTATAAATATGTTGAGGTTAACACATTTGTTGATTTAAATAAAAGATATCAGAAAAAATTTTTTTAAAAAGGTTTGACAATTAGCTGCAACGACTATGTAGCTAATATATCGGAGTTTGTCTACGTTTAATAGCAATACCAGTTAGGAAAAAATATTAAAGATTTAAATTATAAAAGAAAACAATGACGAATCTAGATTTTATGTAAAACTGGGTTATACAAATCGAAACCACTGAATGAATGTATTGTTTGGTTTATGATACTGATGTGAAAATCACTTAAAAATGTGATTTTAGAATCATTCAGCTATTGTACCATGCATCAGTAGATGAATTTGAAATAAAGTTGAATGATATTTATTCCTTGAAATATTTGGACTAATCTATTTATCAACGTTGTTTAGGATAAGTGATAACGTTACTAGGAGTTCCTTCCAGAAGATAATATGAAGTCAATGTAGTTAAGAAATAATACAAATTATGTATGACTGAAGCTTAAGTCAGATTAATTTTCATATAGGAAGAATGGTAATAAATTTTAGGGATAGTTGCTTTTTAATTAGGCACTAAATACAGTGACATACAAGGTCAAAAATTTGCCTTTAAATAGGGGGTAACAGTTGATGATAAGCACAATATAAAATGAATGCACTGGTCAGTTAAAAGGTATGTACTTACCAACAAAAATGAACGGGGCTCTCCATGCTAAATCACCGAGAAATATTGTTGCATACGAAGAAATAACGATAGATATCCAAGAACCCATACAACCAGCTAGGTTAGAAGACGATGATATTAATCCCCACCAAGTGGCTAATTCATGAGAAGCCACAGACTAAAAGTAATTTAAGTAGACTTTGAGAAACAAAATCATATGTACTTTAAATTAGAACTAGGAATTTACGTAATTGATAATAATTCAAGTTAAATAACTGTAAGACAATAGGTTACTGTTGATCAAATATTTATTTCTTTTAATAATTAAGAGATTATTTTCATCGGCGTCGTTTCTCTACGAAACCAAGTAGATTCACCGATAATTTAAAAACGAAGATAGGGACTAAAAAGAGATATTATAAAAGTAAGTTAAATACATGCAAATCTAACTGAAAGGCCATTAAAATGCAAAAAATATCTCGTAAATGATATTTAGTGGCTAAAGTTGAATGATGCTCTTTGCATTAGCGGTGATTCAAACATTCTGATTTCAATCACTGAGTCTCAAGTTTGAATTCAAATCAGTCTAATAAATTTTAGGGAATGACGTAGTATCATTGACACTTACGTAAACCGTGGCTCAGAGTCAAGTACATACGACTCCACAATCTAAGTTAGTAAAACTACAGAATTCCCCTTAACTCTGCCTGTAGCTGTTATAGAGTTACTTCCGGTCCTAAGCCCGGGTAAAGAATGAGGGTTGAGCATGGGGTTAGGGACCCCATCCCGTAGAAAACTAACTCCGTAAAAAACCCTAACCAGAAAAATTAATTTAAACCATTTAAAATCTGCCCTGGGAGTTAGAAGGTTTTCATTTGGAAGAAATATGACGCCTCATGGTGAAAGCCGAGCTCCTTCGGAAGCCATGAGGCCGATGCCCCTTCTAACAACCAGAGCAACAAGTTTTATAGGTACATGGAACGTCCGAACAATGTGGGAGACCGGAAAGACCAGTCAAATAGCAGCGGAAATGAGGAGATACAACTTGGCAGAACTGGGAATCAGCGAAACCCATCGGACACAAGCTGGACAACAAAGGCTAAATACGGGAGAGATGCTGCTATACTCTGGTCACGAAGAAGAAAATGCTCCACACACTCAGGGAGTTGCTCTAATGCTGTCCAAAGTAGCACGAAATGCACTTGTACGATGGGAATCTCACGGATCCAGAATCATCAAAGCATCATTCAAAACAAAGAAGGAGGGGATCACAATGAATATTATCCAATGTTATGCACCCACCAATGATAGTACCGACGACATTAAAGATCAATTCTATGAGAGGCTGCAATCAATCATAGAAAAGTGCCCAAGAAATGACCTCACCATTCTGATGGGAGATCTAAACGCCAAAGTCGGAATAGACAACACCGGATAGGAAGATATCATGGGACGACATGGATTGACTGAGAGAGAGAAACGAAAATGGGGAAAGATTTGCAAATCTGTTTGCAATCAACAAATTGGTCATAGGCGGCACAATATTTCTACACAAACGTATACACAAAGCTACATGGATCCCACCGGACCACATTACAGAGAACCAGATAGATCATATTTGCATCGATAAAAAGTTCCGAAGGACAGTGGAAGATGCGAGAACCAGGAGAGGAGCTGACATAGCTTCAGATCACCACTTATTTGTAGCCAATTTAAAACTGAAGTTAAAGAAGAACTGGACAATTGGACAAACAGCACGACAAAGGTTCAATACAGCCTTCCTTCGAGATACTGACAAACTCAATGAATTCAAGATAACTCTCAACAACAGGTCCCAAGCCTTACAGGATCTACTGAAAGAAGAAGAAACTACTATGGAGGACAGCTGGAAAAGTATCAAATAAGCAATAAATTCAACGTGTCAAGAGGTTCTGGGCCTCAAGAAGCATAATCATAAGGAATGGATCTCCATAGAAACATTGGACAGGATCAAAGAAAGGAAGAAAAAGAAGACAGCAATTAACAACAGCCGAACACGAGCAGAGAAAGTCCAAACACAAGCTGAGTACATAGAAGCAAACAAGCAAGTGAAGAAGAGCATTAAAGCCGACAAGCAGAAATACGTGGAAGAACTAGCAACGACGGCGGAAAAAGCTGCAAGAGAAGGAAATATGAAACAGCTTTACGATACAACGAAGAAACTGGCAAGGAAATACAGTAAACCACAGAGACCGGTTAAGGACAAAGAAGGCAGGCCAATCACTGAAATTCAACAACAGCGGAACAGATGGGTAGAGTATTTTGAAGAACTCGTGAATAGGCCGGCTCCAATGAGTCCACCGGACATCGAAGCAGCATACACAGATCTTCCTATAGATGTCAACCCACCAACGACGGGAGAAATCAGAATGGCCATCGGACAAATCAAGAGCGGGAAAGCAGCAGGACCCGACAATATACCAGCTGAAGCACTGAAGTCACTACGGAGTTCCCGAGAAGATTGTCAATATTATCCGGAACTCATACGACGGACTACAGTGCAAAGTAGTGCATGGAGGACGGCTGACAGACGCATTCGAAGTAAGGACCGGAGTCAGACAAGGCTGTCTACTCTAGTCTTTCCTCTTTCATCTGGTGGTCGACTGGACTATGAAAACCTCGACATCTGAGGGAAAATACGGCATACAATGGACATCTCAGAACCAGTTAGACGATTTGGACTTCGCAGATGACTTAGTTCTTCTTTCGCATACACACGAACAAATGCAGATAAAGACAGCCAGTGTAGCAGGAGTCCCTGTATCACTAGGCCTCAACATACACAAGGGGAAAACCAAGGTCCTCAAATACAACACAGAGAACAGCAATTCAATCACTCTCGATGGCGGAACTCTGGAAGATGTAGAATCCTTCACATACCTGGGAAGCACCATCGATGCACAAGGAGGTTCAGATGCAGACGTAAAGGCGAGGATCGGCAAAGCAAGGGTCGCATGCCTTCAATTGAAGAACATATGGAACTCAAAACAACTGTCATCTAACATCAAAGTAAGAATCTTCTATACGAATGTCAAGACAGTTCTACTGTACGGAGCTGAAACTAGGAGAACTACAACAATCACCATCAAGAAGGTACAAATATTTATAAATGGTTGTCAACGCAGGATACTCAACATCCATTGACCGGATACCATCAGCAACAGCCTTTTGTAAGAGAGAACAAACCAGCCTCCAGCTGAAGAGGAAAGTGGGAAAAGACGATAGAAATGGATAAGACATACATTACGCAAATCCTCAAACTGCATCACGAGGCAAGTCCTAACTTGGAATCCTGAATGGAAGCGGAAAAGAGGAAGGCCAAAGAACACATTACGTCGGGAAATAGAAGCAGATATGAAAAGGATGAATAACAACTGGAAGGAGCTGGAAAGGATTGTCCAGGACAGAGTTGGATGGAGAATGCTGGTGAGCGGCCTATGCTCCTTCACGAGGAGTAACAGGCGTATGTAAGTAAGTAAGTAAGTAACAGTAATCCTGTTGGGCTACTAATATCTCAATTGATGGGATATGATTCATACCTATGACTTAATGTTCAGCCCTTGGGCTACTTAACGAAAGAAGAGCAGCTTCATGCACATTCACAAAATGGTGCGTATATATATTATAGCCTCTGTCCCACTGGCTTGAATGGATGGCCGCTTACTATTAAGAGTTTAATGTGAATAATAGTCTATCCCAGTTAGGAAGAGAACATAATTCGTAAGGAAAAAGATATCCGCTTAAAACAAACGGTACTTTGGTAAAACGAAATCATCGTATAAATTAACACATTATGTCTTCTACATGGATTTTATTACTTGAATAAATCTTTCTTATAAAAATGATTTCCTAGTTTTCATTTTTATCTGGAGTTTTAGAAAAAAAAGGCATTCACAGGAAATTATAACTAAGCCATTTCAAAAATTGTCATTTATAAATAATAATAAATAAATAAATAATATAAGCAGAATTACAAATTTTGTGTCAACTTACGGTACGAAGTGTCTTTGATATGGCTGGCCAGCTAGAACCAAGTGCTAAGCCGATTAATCCATAGGATACTAACCAAACTATTTGATGAGATGAAACTAAAGAAACATGACAGAATTTGTTTCTACTTTTTATAAATTTAATTATATATTCGTTAAATAAGTTGATGTGATGTAATACAATACAAAAGGAATTTTCCATAGTTTCCGTTTATTTACTTATAAATAATAAACTTTAAAACGACGGGAGATCAAAAAGTTTGTTTCAATAAGTACAAGTCAAGCGAGAAAAATATTTACTTACCTGATAGAAGAAACAGTGAACCTGAGGCTGAAATCAGAGAGTAAACAAAAATGCGAAGTGGATTTAAGTGATCCATAAGAATCCCACCAATTAATTTGGTAACTGTATAACCCAATGTTTGAGCAGTAATTATGGAACCTGGAATAAGATTAAGGAAGTAATATACAACTTATTTCAGAGGTACTGTACACAAAATGTTGATACCATTCGAACTGATCAGATACTGGGTGTTTATAACAATTTTTAAACGAAAAAGAGCACAAAGTTTTAACATTTAGTAATAAGTATCTTATCCTACAAACACTAAATCATATCCAAAAGGCTGATAAGCGTAAACACCACTGCTTGTGCATTCAGTCACTCAGCTACAAGGTAGGACCAGGCACATATATGCACCGGTCCAAGTTGCCACACCGCATTAGCACAGCAAGATGAACACCGGATTCATAAAAGTAGTTAGGTCAGTGGTGGTAATATGTAAAAGAAAGATTGTATATAAGAATATAGTACAGGAAGAAAGAATTAGTTCGTAGAAAGAGAGATATGAAGCGATTTTAATCTCTTAGTTTAAGGGAAGATAGAGAGTGTATACACCTACTTCATAGTGATCGGTTCTGAACCATGTCACTCAGTCTCCAACCATTGGCTACGATAGTCACGCGGACCCCAACCAAATAGTCTGCATCTATCAACATGGCTCAGACTAGAAGTTAATGACTTCAAGCACTGATGCTTATACATTATTTATGAATGTATGAACGACAGCTCTAAATAAAAGTTAAAAGAGACTGACAAGAGATTTAATGGAACTGTGATGGATTACAATCACTTTATAATAAAAACGACGCTATAGAATAACACAAAACATGTGACCCACAATTTGCAAGCTAGAAGTTAAGTGGTTACACAACTTAACCAAAACTTTACCAACGCAGTATCAAGAATAATTTACGACATGACTTACCTAAATGAGTATTTGACTTAGTTCCTTTATATTCTACTGGAATTATAGGATATATATTCTGTATGGCTCTCCGAGCTAGCGAAGTGAAGAAGTAACTCCAAAACAATAAGATCAATAACCCAAGCGGTCTTTTAACAGTTGCATTCATGATGCTATAAAACGAATACAAATATTAAACAAAAAACGGGAAAAATGAATGGGATATTTTGATTATCCACCTGAGCTACGAACTTTCTCCACTATCTCAATGGAATATTAGCCTTTCAACCAGACGGACTAATAACATGCAAGTTATAAAACTATGCTGTCGAGCATGAGGCTTTAATGATAGACTTCAGCTTATGAATAAACAGTTAGCGTAATTAAGAAACCTTTTGTCAGAAAATTAATAGAACCAAAATGAATAGTGGTTCACTGTAGCCTATGAATTTCTTAAGACTTATGAGTGTGTTTTTTTAATCTTAATGTTGCGAAAACTTCAAATATATGGAATTATTTAGTATATTCCTTAGGACACTTTATAAAACCCTAAATAACTTTATAGATGACTACTTCCCGAGCTCCCAATTTTGGGGAAGTCCTCAACTTTTGAAGGAATTTCGGGGTTTTTTGTGCAATTTCCCCAAAATTGGCCAAATTTCCCCAAAATTGGGAGCCCGGGTGATAGTACTAAAAATCTTCTTAAACGACTTTGCTGAGAAACGACGAAATACTGTTATGAGACAATGATGAGAGGAATTCAAACAAAAAACGTGATTTACTTTAGTATCCAGGATGTTTATTATTCGGTGAATCAGTAAGTGAATTTCCCAAAGTACTTGGGAAGGAAATAGGAACAGAGAATCACTGATTTGTTCTATATACAAACTGGATTAAGAGTAAAATTCTTCTAAATCTTTTCATCTGTACTCAGGTCTTGAGTCTTACTACGTTCTTTCCTATAAACAACGATAATAGCTTCGATACACATCTAGAAGGACGGATTCGAAAAGGCCAGTCTTGATAGTTGCTTAACCTCTTTGCAGCATTGATTTTAGGTGCAAGTTTCAAAAATAGGACGTGAACTCTACAGAACCGGAAAAGTGTTCTTAAAAGGTGTCCCGTGCTCTTCACTTCTATAACCCTAGAACCATGAGAACAGCAGAATTATTTCGGATTTCTCTTATTGGTTCTTATTGAAGAAACAATCTTTCATGGTGTAGGTAGTCAGTAAATTTCTATCAGCAACACACCTATAATAAAACTGGAGTTCATTCAGTTATCAACTTTTTCCTTTACTCCCAGTATTTTCGAAATATTATTTCTATTAACACTTTTTCACCAATTTAAGGGTGTTTCGCCGAAAGCTACTTAATCTGGAATGAAAAGTAGCGCATTCAGATGTAACATTTGCAGAGGGTGATCCCAAGTCCTAAACAGAAAAAAAAACAAGTAGGTAACGCAAAATACTCTCAGTTATCCTTAAATTGTAGTTTTACTACAATCGATATTCAAAAAAGCTTATAACAAAACATATGCATGTCTCCTACTACCATCATTGAGTAAACTACTCCCAGATACAGTTTCAGGAGCCAGTATTTGTAAGCTTCATAGAATAGGAAAAAAGATGGATTCCGAAAGTCCTCCGAAAAACCGCCTCCTGAAGGTTACATTCAACACGGTGGAAGAAAGGAACCTGATTCCAAGTAATTCACGTAAACTGATAGGATCCGGAATATATGTCCGTGAGGATTTCAGCCTAGCTGATCGTATTAAGAAACGAGCTGCAGAAGCGGAAATAAATGAACGTCGCCAAAATGGGGAACAAAACCTTGTTCTTAAGGATTTTCAAGTTGTAAAAATTCGGAGCAAAACGATCCCCAAGCCACTCTGGGTGGCAAGGGAAAGCTCTCCACAGACTTAAAGGTATGCTACACAAATGCTCGCAGCCTACTAAATAAAATGGCGGAGCTCAAGTCAGTGGTGGATAAAGAAAAACCGGACGTTATTGCTGTCTCGGAAACTTGGTTAACGTCAGAATTATTAGATAGTGAAATCCAGTTGATTGGTTTCATAACCAGTAGGGCTGATAGATTAAACCATAGGGGAGGCGGGGTTATTCTGTATACGAAAAGTACCCTAACCATAAGATTAGCTGAGACAGTAGCACATGTTTCAGGGACATGTGAACTGGTGAGATGTAAGTTAAAATGCCGACGGCAAGATATTGAATTAGTTGTAGTATATCGCAGTTCAGAATGTGTAGCAGATGATTTTATCCTAAGTAAACTTAAGTCCTGGTGTAATAACGGTAAAAGTCTTGTAGTAGGCGACTTTAATGCACCACATATAAACTGGGTTAACTTAGAAGTAGGGTCATCCATATCGTCGTTCGACTGCAAACTGTTGGAAACCTCGATTGGATTAGCATTATTCCAACACATTAGAGATCCCACAAGATACGACTTAAGAAACTCTTCCTCTTTTTTAGATTTAGTCTTCACACACGGTGATGACGTTGGTCAAATGGCTTTTCTCCCACCACTTGGGAGAAGTGACCATGCAGTCATATTATTCAAATTCATGGCTGAGATTGCTTGTCAAACAGTTGCACCGGCCCGTCCCAACATATGGAAGGCAGACATGGAGGCAATCAACTTCGCAGCATCGGCTGAGAACTGGATAATTGACTCTAAGGCATCAGTAAAAGAAGCATGGACTATTTTCAGGCAGTTATACAATCGGATAACTCAACCATACATACCCTGGACAGTCCCAAAGAAGAAGAAGAACGGCCATCCCTGGATAGGCCGGGATATTCGGCGCTTACTGAGACAAAAGAAGAAATGTTGGGATGTTGCTATCCGCCTTGGCACAGCAGATACGATGGAACGCTACAGATCGGTAAGAAACAAATGTGTAACGAAAATTCGGGAAGCTCAAGAAAATAAGAAATGCAGTTGGCACAATCTGCACTCAAGCAGCCCAAGAGAATATTCTCGTACATAAACCACAGAACAAGGATGCATCATTGGATTCCCAGCCTAATTAAAGAAGGAAGTGAATCTGAAACGATAGAGGAAGATCAAGGAAAAGCAGAGGCTATGGCTGACCATTTTGGGGCAGTTTTCACTCAGGAACCTCCTCTAGAGAAAGAACCAGACCCAAATATAGAGTCAACAAACCAGCTACTCACCGTGGACTTCGACCAAAACGATGTGCTTAAGGCTTTTAGCACCCTAAACATGGAGAAGTCAACAGGACCAGATGAACTACACCCTAAAATCTTGAGACATATTGCCCAATATATCGCAGCCCCACTGACTGTGATATTCAAAATGTCACTTGACCAAGGTGTGTTACCTATGGACTGGAAGGACGCAATCGTCACTCCCATACATAAAACAGGTCCACGACAAGTTCCATCGAATTACAGACCCGTAAGCCTCACCAGTGTTGTAATTAAAATACTGGGAAGAATAATCAAACCGACCATAACGGCATTTATGGAAACCAATAACTTGCTGAACATGGCACAACATGGTTTTAGGAAGGGTCTGTCCTGTGCAACGAACCTCCTTATAGCTAGGGAGTTCTGGATTAATGCGCTAGACAACGGAAACTCAATGGATGTTGTCTACATAGATTTCAGTAAGGCTTTTGACAAGGTGTCAACTAATAGACTGCTATTGAAGTTGGAAAACCTTGGTATTGCCAGACCTCTTATAAAATGGATTAAGGATTTCCTAGTAGGTCGTAGACAAAAAGTAAGAATAAATTTCAAGTGCTCCATCTGGAGACCAGTACTTAGTGGAGTACCCCAAGGTTCCGTCCTAGGTCCTTTACTTTTTATAATGTACGTTAATGATCTTACAAGTATAGTACAGTCTCCAATGTTATTATACGCTGACGATGTAAAAATTTGGCGAGTAATAACTGGAGACAAAGACGCATTTACTCTTCAGTCAGACTTAAATAATATGATAAACTGGTCTAAAGAGTGGCTGATGCCTATCAACGCGGAAAGGTGTGTCTACATGCACTTGGGGGATTCAAAGGTTAGTACGTACAACATAGGGGACGTGTCATTACCAGTAGTCCGGTCTCATAAGGATCTAAGGGTGACAGCGAGTAATGATCTTAAGACGATGGCCCATTGCCGGGGGGTCGCAGTTAAGAAGTTTCGAACCCTCTCGGTTTTAAAAAGGACATTCACTAAGTTAGATACTACCATGTTCACCACAGTATACACATCCTTAGTGAGAACTAAGCTAGAGAACTGCGCTCAGGCTGCAAGCCCCTGTTTAAAAGGTGACTCGGACATACTAGAAAAAGTACAGAGGGGAGCTACCCGTGCAATTCCGGAACTCCGGGGTTTATCATACAAAGAGCGGCTTGAAAAACTGGACCTCTTTACTCTGCCCTATCGCAGACTAAGGGGAGATCTAATTTTGATGTTAAGAATACTGAGAAATGATTTCGGACCTAACTTATTCTCTCTCTTTCTTCCCATTAGATCGGGACACCTTAGAGGACATAGCAGGCGAGTAGAAAAGCCAAGAACGAACAAAATACCCGTGGCATACAGGTTTTCACACCGCGTCACCAATACTTGGAACCCGCTGCCTGAAGCAGTGGTGTCCGCACCTTCAATTGACTCTTTCAAGAGAAGACTGGACACTCACAGAAGGATACTAGAAAGGGAATAACACAGGCCGTAGGCCTTCTGTCCTTACTACATAAATCTGAATAGTACCAATGTTTTCATCCATTTGTAGTCCTTTTTATTGGGTTTTTCACGAGTATCTGTATTTGGGATTTCAAACCACTCAAGGAGCTATTCGACATGTTACCTCCCCAGAACTAACACCATAGTGGTTGGAAGGATTTTATCGTTAGCCTTCTACATAGGCATGGAAGGGGAAATCATGTCCATCTACGGACCTAAAAGCTCAACTAGCTTAACAGATAAGAAGCCACACAATCTATTAACTTTTGAGCAACAACTCAATAACTGCAGAAGTGGATTGGTAGGAACCAAAGATAACGGTTCGCCTGTTGTTTTGATAGTTATAGATTATGACAAAGCATACAGAAACTCTCCAGTTTTGGAATGAGATAAAGTACAAAGGTGAACAAGAAACCCATCTGCGGCCAAATGCGGGGAGTAAGGTTAAGTAAGACGCTATAGCGTCCGGATATATCCGGAAGGTAACGGGTCAAAAGTATTGATTCATGTTCTTCATTTCCCCTTACTCACGTTAAGAAATCACCAAAACTACTTCAGTCAACGAAATTTACTTGCGGATGACAAAGTCTGGAGAACAATACGCAGTGATACTGATCATCTTGATCTCGAGATCAGCTCGGATCCGAGCTGATTTAGACTAGTTGGATGGTCCCAAAATTTGGATTTCGAGATGGATGTACCAGCTTTCAAATGTTGCGAGTGTTATGACGATCTTCCCGAAATCTCAAATGCTTTGTTTCAGATTTTATACCCTAACTTATATGAAACATCACTTGGAATATTGTATCCAAGCTGCTAATTTATGCCTTTTTAAGGACGCTAACACATTCGAGTGTTCAATGTGTGGGGACTAAGTTAGTGATGGATCTTTCTGAACTCGCCTATAACGACCGATCAAAGTACTTCAACCTTTCTTCCCTATAGTAGAGTGAGGGTTCACATTGCGTTGGCAACTCAACCACATCGGTGACCTTGAGGTACGTCAGCCAATCAGCCTCCAGGAAATAGTGATCAGTTCTACAACTATTACCGGAAAGTATTGGTTTTGATGTGTCTAAGTGTTTGAAGCACAATACATAAATGACCTTGGACTATTTTCTAGCCAACAAGGAACCAATGTTAGGCTCTGAAACGATTCATGGTGAAGAAGCAGGCGATACGTACGGTTAAAACGAATGATTATCTGCATAGGAATCATCTAAGTGGTTCAAATAGTTGTGGACGGAATAGAATAAGCTTTCACTTAACGAGCTTCCGTGTCTAGAAGCAGGGGATCACCGATACCTCTAGGCAGGAACCTAGGTATATTAACGATAATAGAGTAAGAATGTTGTAGCGGTAAATAAATCCCTAAAATAAATAGCTCTGTAAGTTTTCGACATTGGATGCTGACCATATGTTTTAGTGGACTCATCTAGCTGAAGGCGCTCGGTCAGGCATCCGCACCAGATCACGTGTAGTAACGCCGTGCTCAACATCAACCACAATCGCTAGCCAGATTAGATCAGAGAATCCCGGTATATTGGTCATCGCCAAATATACTCTTCCGATCTCCTCGACTCTGTCTTTTGATTTCTCTTGGTGGGAACGAAACATATTAGAAGGTGTTACTGGTAGAAGCGTTGTGAAACACTGAATACCTGTGACATCATCATTGGTGAGACCGTCGTGATCTGGTACACCTTATTGCAACTGTGAGTCTGTTCCTTTTTGGGATTTTTATATATCATTGCCTTATTTTTTATTTTTTTTAAACATTGTGATTTTTTTTCGTGTTTTTCTTGGATATATATATATTTTCCCCTCGTTCATTATCGTACTTCATATTTCATCATGACTGAACAGACACCTAAAGTACTCAAGCTTAAGACCTTGTCCCCACCTTCGTTTCAACTGATGCCTTTCTGGCCCGACAACATCGAAGCCTGGTTTTGCTACGCAGAAGCCGACTTTTCCGAGCACGGCGTGATCGACACACGTGCACAATTCCTCGCAGTAGTCAAGGCACTACCGCGCGAATTCAACAGGTACGTAACACCTAGTATGTTTACTAGTGATGTTTCCGATCCTTACGAAATCTTAAAACGCTCGATTCTTAAACGAGGAGACCTAACCGATCGACAAAGGTTAGATCAACTCTTCAACAATATCGACCTGCAACACGGTTCTGCGACGGACATGTTGCAACGGATGAGAGAGGTTATAGGCCCAAGAACTTTCGACGAAGGTCTATTCAAACAACTCTTCTTGTCAAAACTTCCCCAACAGGTGCAAGCAGTTCTGGTCTCGTTCCAGAACAACGCCTTAGACGAACTAGCTGTATCTGCCGACCGCATTCTAGAAATTACGAAACCTTCTACTACCGAGGTATTTTCAGTCAAAGAAAAGCCTCACACGACTCAGAATGACATAACCGACTTATGTCACACACTCACGCGTTATCTTAGTCTTCGTACCGACCGTAAGAGATCGCGCACACCACGTAGAAGCATTTCTCGTAAGCGATCTGTCTCTAGACCACGAGAGACAGATAACCCCGACTGGTGCTGGTATCATAACCAGTATGGAAAGTTTTCCAGAAATTGCAGAAAACCCTGCAATTTTCCCAACACGAAACCGACTGATTCGGGGAAACTTCCAAGCCGGCACGCGTTAACGGCAACCGTAGCCGGCGAACAAAGCCGTCTGTTATTCGTCACAGATGTGACAACGAGAGTTCGCTACCTCGTCGACACTGGCGCAGAAGTTAGCGTTCTCCCAGCAAATCCTAACGACCGACTTCACGAATCGACCCTAAACTTACAGGCGGCAAACGGAAAACCGATCGCTACGTATGGCAAAAGGTACGTTTACCTTAACGTGGGTTTACGCAAACCCATCCACTGGATTTTCGTCGTTGCAGATGTTTCTATGCCAATCATTGGTATGGACCTTCTACAACACCACAATCTGATCATCGACACTCGCAAACGGAGGCTAGTAGACGGAAACACTAATTTGTCCGTTTGCGTAACTTCTTTTACTGGTTGTAGAGTATCCCCAGTCACAGTTAAACATATGATAGACCCACTCTATCAACCACTACTCGATAAGTACCCTGGGATACAACAAACTCAACCGAAACTACCGTGTGTAACCAGCAATGTTACACATCACATCACGACTACAGGACCACCTGTATTCTCTAAAGCACGACGACTAGCTCCTGAAAAGCTAAGGTTAGCGAAAAACGAATTCGATCACATGATGGACTTAGGAATCATACGACCGTCAAGTAGCCCATATGCATCTCCGTTGCACATGGTCCCTAAAAAGGACAGCAACGATTGGCGTCCAACTGGTGACTATCGGCGATTGAACGCGAAAACCATTCCCGATCGTTACCCGTTGCCTCACATTCACGATTTGACAGCTACCTTGAAAGGTACAACTGTCTTTTCGAAAATCGACTTGGTTAAAGCGTATAACCAAATCCCTATGGCTACTGACGACATACCGAAAACGGCTATCATAACTCCCTTCGGACTCTATGAATTTTTGCGAATGCCTTTCGGTCTAAGGAATGCTGCTCAAACATTCCAAAGATTCATAGACGACGTTTTTCGAGGTCTCAACTTCGTACACGCGTATGTTGACGACTGTCTAATCGCAAGTCCGGACAGAGAAACACATCTCAAGCATCTGGACCTTGTTTTCGAACGATTACAAAAACATGGCATAACTGTAAACGTTCAGAAATGCCAATTTGGAACCGACTCGTTAGACTTTCTGGGACACACTATCGATGCTCAAGGTATCCGACCCCTTAGAACCAAAGTGGCGGCCATTCTGGATTACCCAGAACCGACCACCGTCAAGCAATTACGCACGTTCAACGGCCTGGTAAGTTTCTATAGACGTTTCATACCCAGATGCGCATCACTTATGAAACCTCTGACCGACCAACTTCGTGGAAATGCGAAATCCATTAATTTGGACGACACCGCACGAAAAGCATTCTCCACAGTCAAGGAACTGATTGCTAAAGCAACAATGCTCGCACATCAGGACACCCGAGCACCCATTAGCATCGCAGTAGACGCATCCGACTCAGCAATCGGAGGAGTCTTACAACAATGGGTTAACAACTCCTGGCAACCCTTGGCATTTTTCTCTAGAAGGTTGCTAGACACCGAATCGAGGTACAGCACATTCGGTAGGGAACTCCTAGCTATGTATTGTGCTGTACGGCATTTCCAACACTATATCGAAGGCCGTGAATTCACTCTTTTCACGGACCATAAACCGCTCACTTTCTCGTTAAGCTCTCCTTCTGACAAGTACTCTCCCCGTGAGTCTCGACAACTGGACTACATTTCGCAGTTTACTTCAGATATTCAACACATCTCTGGAGCAAACAATGTAGTTGCAGACGCTTTATCTCGTATAACTTCCTTGAACAGTTTCCAAGGAATCGACCTTCTTAAACTCGCCGAGCTTCAAAAAGAAGACAGTGATCTTCAGCACGAGTTATCGTCCACAACACTTAAACTACGCATCAAACAGATGGGAACAGGTAAGGAAACCTTACTTTGTGACACATCTACAGGTAGGGATCGCCCAATCGTGCCGAAACATTATCGACGCAATGTCTTCAACACATTGCACAAACTTTCTCATCCAGGTGTTCGTGCAACCATCAAGCTTATAGCAGAACGATTTTGCTGGCCTGGCATGAATAAAGACGTGAGGGAGTGGGCACGCTCCTGTGTAAGCTGCCAAAAATCTAAGGTTATCAGACACAATAAATGTCCCTTAGGCTCGTTTAAAACTCCCGATGCTCGTTTCGACCATGTTCATCTGGATTTGGTAGGACCTTTACCAGATTCAAATGGATACTCTTATCTCTTAACCTGCGTAGACCGTTTCACTCGATGGCCAGAAGCAGTACCTATCAAGGACAGCACTGCTGAAACAGTGGCCCGCACATTCGTCGAACGATGGGTAGCAAACTTCGGTTGCCCTTCAACCATCACTACAGACCGCGGACGTCAGTTTGAATCTGATCTTTTCCGTCGTCTGACCACACTTTTAGGAATCACTCGCTTCCGAACGACCGCCTACCATCCCCAAGCAAACGGGTTGGTAGAACGTTTTCACCGACAACTGAAAGCTTCGCTATCAGCTGCAAACGTTTCACAATGGACCGACGCTCTTCCACTCGTCTTACTAGGTATCCGCAATGCAGTGAAAGCTGACATTGGATACACTGCGGCTCAACTCGTTTATGGAACGACACTTCGACTTCCAGGAGAATTCGTGGATCCTTCGTGCTCTTCGATGAACATGGATCTAACCTCCTACACGAACAGGCTTACAAACGCAATGCGTTCAGTTAAACCTGCTTCCACTCGACCTCAATCAACTGATGTTTTCGTTCAACCTGACTTACCATATAGTACACACGTTTTCATTCGTCGAGACTCGCATCGACGACCATTCGAATCAGCATACGAAGGACCCTTCAAAGTTCTTCAACGTGAATCTAAGTACTATATAGTCGATAAGAACGGAACCAACGATAGCATCAGCATCGATCGCTTAAAAGCAGCGTATTTA